GCTGATTTTCTGTGCAACACCAGAGCTGTAACCTAAAACAGCCCTACATTACTTTCAGTCAAAGTCTGTTTTTTCCTTCACTGCGGATAATCATTTATCCGTTCATCATCAGAGTTAGTCGGAATTTACATCCCTAATTTCAGTATTCGAACACTGGCATCTGGAATGGTTAACCAAGTACTTGAGTACCTGAGCACATCATTAGTTCTCATGGTATCCAGAGCAGACAACAGCTTGTTTGCCTTCCCCTAGCTTAATAAAAAATGGATTGTGTACACACGGACACATGCATAATGAATCCGAACCTAACAAAATTCTGATACTTTGCCATCTTGGCGCACGATATACAACCCCATTTCTAAAAAAGTTAGGACGTTGTGCAAAATGTAAATAAAAACAAAATGTAATGATGTGTAGATCTTTTAATTGAAAATAGTATAAAAACAACATATCATATGTATAAACTGAGAAATTTTATTGCTTACTGAAAAATATTTGCCCATTTTGAATTTGATACCAACAACTCATTCCAAAAGAGTTGGGACAGGGGCAACAAAAGGCTGGTAAAGTTGGGTAATGCTAAAAAACACCTGGTGGTTAATTGGCAACAAGTCAGTTACATGATTGGGTATAAAAAAAAAAACATCCCGGAGAGGCGGAGTCTTTCAGAAGTAAAGATGAGGAGGGGTTCACCGCTCTGTGAAAAGCTGCACAGGCAAATAGTGCAACAATTCAAGAATAACGTTTCTCAACGTAAAACAGCAAAGAACTTTTGCTTTTCATCATCTATGGTAAATAACAACGTTAAACGATTCAGAGAATCTGGAGAAATCTCTGTATTCAAGGGACAAGGCCAAAAACCAGTATTTGCTGGCTGTGATCTTTGGGCCCTCAGGCAGTACTGCATTAAAAACAGACAGGCTTCTGTAGTGGAAATCACTGCATGGGCCCAGAAACACTTCTGAAAACCACTGTCTGTGAACACAGTTCATCGCTGCATCCACAAATGGAAGTTAAAGCTCTAAAAGGCAAAGAAGAAACCATATATAAACAGGATCCAGAAATGCTGCCACCTTCTCTGGGTCCAAGCTCATTTAAAATGGACTGAGTGGAAGTGGAAAAGTGTCCTGTGGTCTGAGAAATCAACATTCGAAATTCTTTTTGGAAATGGACACTGTCCTCTGTTATCAGTCCACTGTTCAAAAGCCAGTATTCATGAAGGTATAGGGGTGCATCAGTGCACATGGCATGGGTGACGTGCACATCTGCACAGGTACCATTAATGCTGAATGATATATACATGTTTTGGTAACATATGCTGCCATCCAGACAACGTCTTTTTCAGGGAAAGCCTTGCTTATTTCAGCAAGACAATATCAAACCACATTCTGCATGTATTACAACAGCATTGCTCCATTTTAAAAGAGTCCGGGTGCTAAACTGACCAGCCTGTAGACTGTCACCCACTGATAACATTTGGCACATTATAAAATGAAAAATACGACAAAGTTGGGCAGCTGAAATCCTGTATCAAACAAGAACGGGAAAACATTTCACTTTCAAAACTACAGCAGTGTCTCCTCAGTTACCAAACACTTACAGAGTGTTGTTAAATGAAGAGGTGATGAAACACAGGGGTAAACAGGCCCCCATCCCAACTTTTTTGGAACGTGTTGCTGGCATTAAATTCGAAATGGGCATATATTTTTCAAAAAACAATACAATTTCAACAGTTTCAACATTTAATATGTTGTCTTTGTAGTATTATCCTTCCAAAAAATGGTTTACTTGATTTGTAAAGCATTGTATCCTATTTTTATTTGCATTCTGCACAGCGTCCCAACTTTACTGGAAATGGGGCTGCGCATCAGAAAGTCCTCGAACGTCTGTAGGTGGAGCATCTGAGGCAGAGACTCAGCTGGAAGTAACCATCAACTTTTGCTTCTTGTCTAAAATCCAAAAGCAGAAGAACAAATGTCCTTGAGAAGCAGCAACAGAAGCTTGTTTCCACCAATGGCAGCAATAAAAGCTGGTTCCCAGCCCCTCTCCAGATGACAGAGATCTGTAATCTGTATGCAGGGCTGTGGTAGACGGTTTTTAATGCTAATCAGAGAGATGCTGGCTGCTCTCTCTGTTTCTGCCAGATGGCTGTTCTGCATAGCTACAGATCCACTGTAGCACTGCTTTATCGAGAGACGTTCCTGGCCACTCCAAGAATTTAACGGCAATGTGTTCTTGCCTTAATTGTTGTGTATGCATAGTGCCCTTGGACTAATATGGGTCTAAAAAAACTCCATAGCAGGAGCCTGTCAGCAAAATGTACTGCCAGGTCTCCATTTTGGACCCTTCTGCAGTTTTTTCCCCACGCAGACCTAAAGCTGGCATCCCTCTTTGTGTAGTCTTGGCATCCATAGCCCTAAAATCATTAACTCCAAACACCTTGAGTATTGATAATTAGCAGTTACAAAATTACAACAAGGTATTTACATTTAAAAGCCCAGAAAAGCCCAAAGAATGCAATGTTTCTTGAATCCTCCTCAGGACATTACGGTCAGTGAAATTCTTGGTAGTTGGGTGGACTTGCTTTTTAAAGGAATACTACAGTGAAGTATGAGTAGTAGTGTTAGTACGAGTGTAGGGCCTTAGCTTGTGGTTAGTACATTAGCTCAGGTCTAACGCTTTTGCTCATGGTTAGTACATTAGCTTGGGGCTAAGGCCTTAGCTCAAGGTTAGTACATTATACTGGGTCCAGGGCTTTAGCTCACAGTTAGTACATTTGCTTGGGTCTAGTGCCTTTGCTCATGGTTAGTACCTTATACTGGGTCCAGGGCTTTACCTTGTGGTTAGTATATTAACTTGGGTATAGGGCTTCCAGCTCATGGTTAGTACATTAGCTTGTGGCTAGAGCCTTACCTCAAGGTTAGTGATACTGGGTCTAGGACATTAGCTTGTGGTTAGTACATTAGCTTGGGTCTAAGGTTTTAGCTTGTGGTTAGTACATTAGTTTGGGTCTAAGGTTTTAGCTTGTGGTTAGTACATTAGCTTGGGTCTAAGGCTTTAGCTTGTGGATGGTACATTAGCTTGGGTCTAAGGTTTTAGCTTGTGGATGGTACATTAGCTTGGGTCTAAGGTTTTGATTGTGGTTAGTACATTAGTTTGGGTCTAAGGCTTTAGCTTGTGGTTAGTACATTAGCCTGGATCTAAGGTTTTACCTTGTGGTTAGCACATTAGCTTGGATCTAGGGCTTTAGCTTGTGGTTAGTACATTAGCTTGGGTCTAGGGCTTTAGCTTGTGGTTAGTACATTAACTTGGGTCTAAGGCTTTAGCTTGTGGTTAGTACATTAGTTTGGGTCTAAGGTTTTAGCTTGTGGTTAGTACATTAGCTTGGGTCTAAGGTTTTAGCTTGTGGTTAGTACATTAGTTTGGGTCTAAGGTTTTACCTTGTGGTTAGCACATTAGCTTGGGTCTAAGGCTTTAGTTTGCTCCATTAACTCAACTGTGCTGTTCTAAAGTGTCTAAAATTGTACTCAAACTGAAAAAGGAAGCATTAATACATTAACATTCTTTAATACATTAACATAATTTATGAAAATATCCATTTTTAAACTAAACTTTATAAGGTAATTAACATAAGATGCACTTTCAGGCACTCCTTATTTTCGCTGCATTGAAAATGTCTCAAATCAAGACTTGCAATGAATATATTATGAATTTTGTGAACTGTTACAGCCCTATGGCCCTGCAATGGACTGGCGACCTGTCCAGGGTGTATCCTGCCTTCCGCCCAATGACAGCTGGGATAGGCTCCAGCACCCCACTATGACGATAATGTGTGTGTGGGTGTGTGTGGGTGTGTGTGTGTGTGTGTGTGTGTGTGTGTGTTACAGCCCTATGAAATATGTAACTATATAACCAGAATTTGAAACTGTAGCTGTTATTCATAAAGATGTGTCTCACTTCAGACACAGTTCAGGAACTGCCCAATGGCTTCTACTATAAGTGCGCTTTAAATGAACAGATACAGAGAAATGCTCAAAATAATCGACTGATGGGGCAGACAGAAGCCGAAAAACGCTGCAGTGTTGCTTTAGGCATGCTGTAAATGGGAAGTGACAGGAGTTGTCAGGCTGTCTCTGGCTGTGGCCTGTTCATGCCCGTCTGCCAGCGGCGGGGCTGCTGAGGCATCAGTCTGTGCAGCGCCGTGGCTGCCTCACCTGTGACCTCGACAGAATCAGCCGCATGCTGAGCGAGCGGCAGAGAGGATTGAGATGCCAGCCTGCATAGCCGGAGGGCCATAGATCATCTTTAATGGTGATTCACCACACATAGGAAGCACAGCTGGTGAAGACTTTGGTCTTTTTGTTCAAACTGTGTTTGTATGCAACACAATTCAAACTTGGTAGCTTGTGAGCTTCAGTGGCCGTGAATTAAACAAGAACATCAGAGTGGACATTCAAACTCCCGAGTCTTCTTTTATGTAGTTGGGTATCAGATGAGGCACGTGTAGTTTGGATTAAAAACACAATAAATAGTGTACTATCTTGTAAGCGCTTGACTGAGAGAGTGTCAAGTAACGTAAAACCGCAAAGAATGTCAATACACAAGCAGCTGATATTGTATCTAACATCAATCATCTAAGGAGCTGTACGGAGTGCTGTGCATCATTTATTTTATTTCCAGTCGAAACAGCCATTAACTCACTTATTTAACTCATTTATTTATTCAACAACTAAAACGAATATCAATTTGTTCAGTGTTTGTGTCTAGCCATTACCAAAAAATGCTAAACCAACTTCTAAGACTGAACCAAAGTTCGGTCATGGAAGTTGGTTTAGCATTTTCTGCTTTTCGTGATCCAATTAATCCCAACCACAGCGCTGAGTTGTCGTCTCATAGTGGAAGGATGGCTGTGGATTCTTTCAGATCTGAAGCAGCTTGATTTTCTCCTCTCCCTCAAAGATGAAAGCTTTAAGTGCTGTTTATCTGATGGAAACAATGTTGGTGTCTACCAGGTCTTCCAGGTGGTTGCTAGGAGTCCCATTTTCTCTATAGCTTTTCATTTTTTGAACTCTAGCTTTGGAAACTCCTGGTTTTCCTCTTATTTTCCCTTGACTTTCTGCTTCCTTATTCAAGTGGAATTATCTTATGTCTAAACTCCTCAAAAATATGTCCAGAAAAATTGATATCTTGTACTTAAAGGATGCCTATGACTGGAAATGAAATAAACAAAGGCTAGTCTCTGACTTTTGCACGGCACTCTAAACGTATAAAAAAAAAAAACAAAAAACTGACAAATACATACAAACTTTGTAAATTATCGTTCTGTATGTTTTGTGTTTGCATTCAATCGTTTTCTGTGTTTGTATTTAAGACATTTCTTGTTGGGACTTTAAACCAATAGTGTTTGAATTGCACAGCCATATTTGACGTGAATATCTAAAAAGCAAAAATAGTTAAAATATAGAAAAGTACTCCAAAGTATGTAGGTTTCTTTCCAGAAGTATGTATTATAGTACGCAATGTTCTGCCAATAATACAGGCCAAGTAACCATGGACAGAATTTTTTTTAAGGGGATGAGTTCTCTGGCTCCTAAATTAAGGACGACCCAAAACCCAGAAAAGAGTGTAAGAGTGTTAGCTAATCCAAAAGCAGTGTCTCACCCTGCCGTTGCTGACCACAGCTCTCTGTCCTGCCTTCAGCTTCAGCGCCTCCTGACAGAACCTCTGCTGGCTGTGCAGAAAGTTCATCTCCAGAGTGTTGAACTTCTTCTCAAAAGCATCCTGGTCCATTCCCTGCAGCACAACAACAAAGACGCAGATAAAGGGAAATTCCACTGATTTTTTTTCTCCAAATTTCCACAAGAATTAAATCCTTAAGGTGCAAAACAGTCATTCAGATCAGGTTTGATGTGAAACGCTCTGTTCTAGAGAAAACTGCAGAGTCAGACTTGTTTACAGTGGTGGTGATAGGAACTGGACGCCCATCTCTAACAGCTCCCTCACAGGAAGTTCTTACACAAAGTGGTTACAAAGCTGCCCGATGCCTGGGGCACTGTTTGACAATAGTTTTCAGAGGAGGTTTAGGCCTAAAAGGTATGGACAGATACACATAACAGGGCGTTATGAGCAAAAATAGCACTGCAAATAACATATTTTTATCACTATTTTATTATTATCAGCCTGACATATAAAATCTCGCATGTAGGTTCACTGGTAGTTTTGGATAGTAAATAAAATGGCTATATTTGCGTTGTAGATATTGAAACCTTTGGTTCCTACCACCAACTCTCTGGTGTTTCCCCACAAGTTTCCATACAGCCTGAGGGAGCTTTTAGAGGTAGACGTCTGGTTCCTATCATCAATTCTGAGACTATTGCTCTAGAACGGAGTGACTTACATAAAATCACTTTATTTGGTATACAACAAATATGGTATATATCATGGTATAGTGTATTCATGTATATTGTTTACAAGTGAACCATTATTCTGGTCCCTTTTTAATAAGAACCATATTTAACAACTCAAGTAAATCTACAATATTTTTATTGGGCAAAATAGAGAGCGTCATAGGCGGTGCACACGGAAAGCCAACTAGTCTCCATGCTAGGCTAAGGGCTAACATCTAACCCCAAGAGACTGGCTTTTCCTTCCCCTCTCTTTCCCGCTGTTAGCTCGTTAACTCTTTACAATGTGATCTTGACTTCTTTAAACAATAAACTGGACTAACTTACCTCAGGCTGCAGCTCCCTACACAAGAGATGAGGGAATCAGAGTGTTTTGCATTGTTTGTATGTAACGTTATCTGCATTTATTTGAATATCGTTATGAACGGTAATGAAAAAACGAATACCTTAAGAGAAATCTGGATGAACCAGTATATCACCCACTACTAATCACAACAATTCAATTACACAGAAATTTAGAAGAATCAGTGGAATTCCACTTTAAGCTTCTACAATGTTAATTTATATAAAAAACAAACATTTATTTGTGTCTTTTCTACACAGGAACTACAGAAAGGTAGATGAAAAGACTGGTTCACTGATAATCTAGTCCCAGATTACAGATTCCACTAGTGCAAGAACAATATTAATAAAATAAGAATTCAATCCTGACAGTAAAAGTTAAATTTGATGACACTACAGAAAGCACACAGCCAAGGAACTCACTTGACAATCTATCAATCAAGCTGTTATATTCATTATACTAGAAATTAAACACTGGCTGTCATGTCAGTAACAAATCATAGGAGGATGAGCTTTGCACAGTCAGATTATTAGTTTCCAACAATGCCCCACAGGAGAGAGGAGAAAAAGTGCCAATATCAGCACAGCAGCCTTCCTGCCATCCTCTAATAAAATCCTAACAGGGCTGCAGCACAAGCTCTCACAGCACCATGTTCATATGCTTTTTCCCTGTAACTCCAGCTCACCATCACATTAACAAATAGAAGGTAGAATAGAATATACATAACTACTTATCCATTACCCATAACATTAAACCCTTGTTTCTACACTCATTGTCCATTTTATCAGCTCCACTTACTATATAGGTGCACTTTGTAGTTCTACAGTTACAGACTGTAGTCCATCTGTTTCTCTGCATACTTTGTTAGCCCCCTTTTACCCTGTTCTTCAATGGTTAAGACCCTCACAGGACCACCATGGAGCAGGTACTATTTGGGTGGTGGATCGTTCTCAGCGCTGGTACGAGTGGATCAGACATAGCAATGCTGCTGGAGTTTTTAAACACTGTGTCCACTCACTGTCCACTCTATTAGACACTCCTGCTCCTATTATCCACCTTGTAGATGGAAAAAAATCAGAGACAGTAGCTCATTTCTTGCTTCACAGTTTGTGTTGGTCATCCTCTAGTCCTACGTTAGTGGTCACAGGACGCTGCCCACAGGACGCTGTTGGTTGGTGGACTATTCTCAGTCCAGCAGTGACACTGAGGTGTTTAAAAACTCCAGCAGCACTGCTGTGTCTGATCCACTCAGACCAGCACAACACACACTAACACACCACCACCACATCAGTGTCACGGCAGTGCTGAGAATGATCCACAACCCAAATAGTACCTGCTCTGTGAGGGTCCATGGGGGTCCTGACCACTGAAGAACAGGGTAAAAGGGGGCTAAAAAAGTATGCAGAGAAACAGATGGACTACAGTCTGTAACTGTAGAACTACAAAGTGCACCTATATAGTAAGTGGAGCTGATAAAATGGACAATGAGCGTAGAAACAAGGAGGTGGTCAGAATGCTATGGCTGATGTATGTGTTAGAGAGAGCAGGAGGAAGGAAGAAGGCATACTACTACTACTACTACTACTACTACTACTACTAATAACAATAATAATAATAATAATAACAATAACAACAACAACAACAACAACAACAACAACAAAAAGAAAGGTGGAGACTTTTCATGACTGTTCAGTTCCATTTCCTTAACACATATCAATATCAGTGCCCACATCCAGCTTCTTTTATTTTTTTCCTCAGGTCCACTTGTGATGTTTGTGTTGCTTCATGAACCAAAAATCATTCATCAGTCAATTCAGTTTTTTATATGACCTCTTTCAAACCTCTCTTTATCCATTTACAATAGTACTAAGTATTATTCACTAAGTGTATTATTTAAATCCATTTATTGTGACAAGCATGCTTGTGCTTGTAATAACAACATATAATATTAAAATAAATAGACTTAAATAAATAGAAAGAAACTTTCTTTTTATAACCTCAGCATGAATGGGCGGGGCTAAATTTCCAAATACGGACGGTATGGAGTAGGGAGTAAATGCTATATTCAGAAACTTTAGGTGTTTACAAACTACATCAAAATAGTGAATTTTAAAAAAGTGAAGAAAATGTTGTTTTTGTTTTATATGGGCCTTTTTAGCATGTGTAGCGCACATCAATGACCTGTGATGATTCCAAATGGAGGCACATGTTGAACACTTACTAGTTCCACACCTCATCAGGAATGGACCAAAGTGCACTGCACACTGAGTGGGTGGGATATGCATCACGGCCAGATAAAAACACTTCAGTCTAGTCTCAAAAACACGCATTTTTGAGTACAGATTCCACACAGAAGCCGGGGACAAAATCGATAAAGTGAGCATGCAAAACACGCCAGAGTCTGTAAAGCCAAATCACATCCAACATGAAAAGAATAAAACATGAAGCAGTTCAATTGGTCTTTTGGGGAATATGTGATTCAAAAGCAAAAGTAGGGATGATAAATAAGACACAGTCTAAATGCACCACTTAGTACTCGTAAATGGTAGGTGTTGGGATTTTATGCGCCACTAACCTGTAAGAGCAGGTCTTTAATCTTGGTGCCTTGTGTGAGGAGCTGAACGGTCTCCTCTTTCAGGAGTTTGAGGGTGAAGTCGAGGGTGTTCTTGGTGGTCTGGGTGAGGAAGGAGGCCCAGATGGCTCGGTATAGGCTGCTGTTGTCTTCCCTGGGCTCACTACTCGGGTTATTAATCACACCAACCCGGCTACTGGAACTACTAGACTTCTGTGGGCATGAAAACAAAAGGTTACACACACAACAGCCACAGCCTGCAAACATTTTTCACGTAATAAAGCAGAATTATTTTAACAAGACCGTTAAAAAACGTCCTTTGAAGACATGACTCGGCAGAACGTTCTTGCTTGGTCATTACCAATGCCACAAAAGTGCACCCGGGGAGGGGTTCCAGTGATAAATTGTTCTTAAATTAATTACTAAGGAGCGTGCGCCTCGCGGTCTCTGAAGATTATATGTTTCCTGTGGCTACGACTAATTGGAAATAAAAACAGCAGCAGCTCACCATATGTTTCAAGGCATTCAGCAACATCTGCCTCCCAGGGGCCTGCTCAATATCCGCAATAATCCAAATGGTCACTCCATACACCATCTCCTCTTCTGCAGGAAAACAATTACTTACTAGAAATGCTGCAGCGCTCATTTGAAAAGGCCATATTGTGTATTTCTGGAGCCATAAATAACGTGGCGGTGGTAGTATTCAAAACGTGGGCAAATAAAAAAAAACTGAAGTGCACTCAAAGCATGCATCAATGTCCTAAAATCCACAAAGAGGGGAAAAAAAAAAACAGGCAAACATCAAAAGGTAAACACTGAAAACTCCACAGACTATGTGACAACCATGTCACAAACAAAGCTCTGTGCAGGAATAACCAAACAAATCAATTAAAAAACAGGATTTTCATGAAGGAAAACCAGAAGAAAACACAATGAGAAAGCAAGACTGCTTCATGATTTCATCAGGGACATTATCTTAGGATCAAAGCACAAGAAATGCTTTGTCTTCTTTGAAAAACTGAGCCTTTTTATCAGACACTCACCATGCTTGGTTAAATACTTCATTCTCTTGGAAACAACAGCAGTCTTGTCCTTGGAGTCCAGGAACGAGAACATTGTTGAGTCATCCCAGTCATCAGCAACTGTCAGTTTAGCACAAAAACAAGAAGCTGTCAAGCGGGAACATAGAGAAACCAATGCGACTGCTGTAAGCAGGGCTGGGTTTACCTTAAGCCCTGGATAAACAACATAACATGTAAAATCTGCTTTATGAAAACACTGGATTTCTCACACCTTCTGATTGATTTCTGCAGATTTGTATGATTGGGGATCACATGCTAATTGTTTAGAGATCACCTAGACATTCTCAAATGTCACACTTTCTTCAGACCCACCAGGATTTTGCGAACACTTTTTTTGATTGTTGTGGGCCAAATGCTTGATTTTGCAAAATTTGTGGCAATATTTTTTAGAAGGGATGGGTTTTTTTTTTAGAAGGACAGATTTATTTAACTTGATTTAAATGTAGCCGAGTTGTTTTTTGTCAAAAACAGGAAATTAAGTGAACCTCTGAGAGCCAAGAACCTGCAAAGCAACTCGAGATTAAAATATACAAACCCAATTTTCAAAAACGACAATGCAAATAACTCATCAAACCGCTGACGCTCTCCCTACTCAATCTGCTGTCCTTGTCGGTAAACTTTATGCAAATGAGCTGAGAGGCAGCCAATCAGATTGTTGATGTGTGGTGTACAACTGTGTCCTACTCAGTCAAGCTACACACTGAGATTCAATACTCGAATGCACACATGGGAGAAATGTTTCCAAAGTTCAAGACATTACTGCGTTATTTGATATTTTTAATTAAGAAAATGAACAGCATTAAGCTGCTTTGGGGCTCAGAACTGGCCTACAACTCTACATATATTTTAACAGAAAGTATTTTAGTGACACGCCTGCAAAGCTCCCAACAGTAGGGAACACTTGCTGTAATGAAAATGCAGCATTAACTTAAACAGTGCATGGCTACTGCAGATTAGAGTAAAGACATGCATCTTTACCAAGTCAGAATGTTATTTTCAAACCCTATTTCCAAAAGGGGTGGGACAGTATGTGAAATGCCAATCAAAACAGAAAGCAGTGTTTAGTAAATTCTGTTTGACCTGCACTAAACTAACAACAACACAAAACACAATATTTTATGTTTTACCTCATCAACGTCATTGTATTTACTTAAATGTGCTCATTCTGAATGTAATACCTGAAACACATTCCAAAAAAGTTGGGACAGTAGCATGTTTACCACTGTGTTACATCACCTTTTCTTTTCTCAACAATTAATAAATGTTTGGGGACTGAAACCACCAATTATTCATGTTTTGAAAGCAACTGTTTTTTGTCATTCTTCAGCTATACAAGTCTTCAGATACGCAAATGTATGTGGCCTTCATCAGCAACACTTTTACAGTAGGAAACAGGCAGGCCAGTCCAGCACCCAAACTCTATGATAACGCTGTATGACATGCTGTTATAACACATGCAGAATGTTTCTTGCCATTGTCATGTTGAAATAAGGTTGGATTTTCTTGAAAAAGACGGAGTCTAAAAGGCAGCATATGTTGCTCCAAACTGTGTATATGTTTTTCCACTAATACATCCCCATACCATGACAGATGCTGGCTTTTGAACTTTACACTGGTAACAATCTGGACGGTCTTTTGGCCCGGAGAACAAACTGTCCATTATTTCCATAAACAATCTGAACTCAGATCGTCAGCCCACAATGTTTCCATTGTGAATCACTCCATTTCAGATGAGCCTGAGTCCAGAGAATTTGGCAGACTTTCTGAGTGTTGTTAACATATGGCTTCTGCTGTGCATACAACAGTCTTAACTTGCATTTGCAGCAGCGTCAACAGTTTTTACTGACAACTGTTTGTCGAAGTACAAGCCCATGCAGTGATTTTTAATGCAGTGCTGTCTGAGGGATCGAATGTCATGGGCATCCAGTTGTGGTTTTTGGCCTTTTCCTTTACGCACAGAGATTTCTCCAGACTCCTGGAATCTTTAGATATTATGCACCATAGATGGAGAAATGTCTACAATATTGCACTTGCTCATGGAGGAACATGTTTTTAAACTGTTGCATTATTTACTGATGCATTTTTTGTAAAGCGGTGAGCCTCAAACCCATCCTTGCTCATAAAGAACTAGGCATTTCCTAGATACTTTCCTTTATAGCCAAACATAATCACCTGTTAAAGATATTTTTTGAACATTTAACAATGTTTCTAGTATTAAACTGCTCCTGTCCCGACTTTTTTGGAAATTGCTGCAGGCATCAATTTCAGAAAGAGCATTTATTTACAAAAAATATGGTAAAAGATTCATTATCTTGTCTTTGTATTGTTTTTGTTCAACCCCTTAAAATCCCAGGCTTATTACATACTAAGTCTTATTACTCAGTACCTACAGGGACTTAAATGCAAACTGGCTGAGCTATTCTTAGGTTATAGAAGCGTGTAATAAAACTTTGGGCCTGCCGGTGGGCTCTGGCCATTTAAGGGGTTAAATATAAGTCTAAGTGGATTTATAAATCACTGCTTTCTGTTTTCATTTGTATTTTAACTACCATCTCAAGTTCTTTGGAAATGGATTTGTATAACACTGTTTTAAAGTTTTAAAACTCTGCCAACTGAACATGTCCTCTAAATGAACTCAGTAATATTCATGAAATCTGAGGAATCATATTAAAATAAAATATTTAGAGCATCCAGTAGCGATACGACTCTGAACTAATATGAACTCAGCAGCTTTGCAACAGTCAATACAGTGCAAAAACACCCAGCATCTACATTGCTACAAAAGGTTCAGTCACAGCACAGAGCAGACAACTGCTTGCAAAAGACTCGGAAGAGCTTTCTTATGGACGTGCAGATAGGCAATCAGAATGAAACTGAAAAATCACAATTGTTGCAGCCAGTTTAGTTTGGATATCAGACGCTCAGTATATGTGTGGGTGGAGCAGCTGAGACTACGGCTTCTCTGCACATAGCACAGAAGCTGCGCACTGGTCAAGACTGTGAGCATATACGGAGAGGATTGTTCGAATTTGCATTCACAAGATAAAAACAGGACTACTAAACTGCAGAGGGCGCTCGCGAGTGAGCGAGTCCTCAATGAATGGGAGTAAATGGAGCTCAACGGCCAAAAATGAAAAGTTAAAATAGTTTCTAATCACTCACCCAGAACGTTTCTTTAATTTTAGAAAGTAGAAGGATGTATTTCACTAAAAAAGCAAAGAAAACTCACCTGTATGTTTCCTTTTCTCTACAGCAAACGGGTTTTGGGCAGCAGAAGGCCGGGCATTACTGCTACTGAGCGCTGACTAATTGGCGATCGGAGCAGCTCATTGGCTGTTCACGCTCACAGGTGTAATGGACGTACATGAGGCGCCGTTTTAAACTCCTATAATTTGAGTTTAAAAGCTCTTAAAAATATAACAGCGGTGTTAAATGTTTTATGCTGTTCTGTGATCAGGAAATGATTGTATTCTTCTACATTAAAAATGTTTAAGCATTTATAAACTATGATTTTGCTCAAATGCTCCATATCAACCCATTCATTTTGGACTCGCTTGGGAGCGCCCTCTAGTGTTTGAGAAACCCGGAAGACATTGCAGAGTGGTAATTCACATTACAGAGTAGTAATTCTCCTCTCTACAAGTTTTCTGCTACTACAGCCGACTACAGTAGCATGGGTGTGGTATTGAGGGCCAGAGTTCAGCACAGTTGGCCGAATTCCCTGCTCTAACAAGCCTACTAAACTTGGCAGTCAACTGATGAATTGGATCACATGTGAGAAGAAAAATCATCCAAATCACACAGGAACTTGGCTCTCCGGGACCGGAGTTCCCCATCCCAGGTCTGAAGGTTACCGTGCACCAGTGGAGAAGTGATGCATCCTCCTGGTACAGAGCTCAGCAATACTAGGGACGCACAGCTGGAATTGGCAGATGGCAATCGACTCATTCATTGCTTCTATTTTGGCCTTGTTGCAATTTTATGAAGTATATAATGTGAGGCAGGTCAGTATTTCAACACTGTTTCTACATCTGTACCAAAATATAGCATAATTATGCATGACTCAATGTGCCAAATAGCCAGTTGCCTCTTATTTTAGACGTAGTACTACATTTGATTCAGGTACTGTATTTGATTCATGTTATTCAAATAGAAACATTTTAAATGCCAGTTAATAATAAATAATGTTTTTTTAAACATTTCATTTTTAATTAAAGAGCAAATAATGTTTATACTGCAAATTCGGCTTATAAAAACTACTGGAAATGTCTGTTTCATGTGTGCATTTACATACAGTGTGAGCTTCAGATTAAAAAAAAAAAGAACGAATCTAAATCTGAATTGGCCATAAAATTTCATGACACATGCATCTTTTAGCAAGTACCACAGGAAACGTTGCATAAGAGCGCTGATAAACATCAAGCTCAAGCACATTTTACAATCTAATCGTACAGATTTAATAGAGAAAAATTTCAACATCATTTAGCACGTCAATCATGTTTTCGTTTTTAAGCTAAAAGGTGAAAAGTTGGGCTAGTAACATTAGCTGAGGTGAAAACAGATGCTTGGCATTTGTTTTCTTACCTTAAAAACTGCCCTCTCTCTGTACATTTCAAGCAACAAGTCATCTACTATGAATTTCTGGGTCTGGTTTATATAGTACAGTGATGACAACAGTAAGATGCTGAGTGGCTCTATTTTCAGACACTAGACTTTGGCTGCCTTTTACATCTGGTAGATATTTATTTAACACTGCCATAAAAACCGAATATCACTTATGAAATGTCCATGGCTGGTTACTTGTAGATGGACAGGGAGGCAAGATTTTGTCACTGCTTTTGTTTTCGCCATTGTTTGTCCCGCCCCAATATCGACTGACAGAAGTCCTTCCACTTCGAATCATACAGTAGATAAAACTCGTGTGGTGTAACGTTTACTGATTCATGGTTACCTGGTGATGCAGTGAAGTCCAGGTATCTCCTTTCTGGGCTCAGAATCACAGGGTTAATGCGTGGCACTACGTTCGCCTGCTCCATCAGGAAGTCCACCACATCCATATAAGCATTTATAAACTATGATTTTGCTCAAATGCTCCATATCAACCCATTCATTTTGGACTCGCTTGGGAGCGCCCTCTAGCGTTTGAGAAACCCGGAAGACATTACAGAGTAGTAATTCTCCTCTCTACAAGTTTTCTGCTACTACAGCCGACTACAGTAGCATGGGTGTGGTATTGAGGGCCAGAGTTCTTCCACTTCGAATCATACAGTAGATAAAACTCGTGTGGTGTAACGTTTACTGATTCACGGTTACCTGGTGATGCAGTGAAGTCCAGGTATCTCCTGTCTGGGCTCAGAATCACAGGGTTAATGCGTGGCACTACGTTCGCCTGCTCCATCAGGAAGTCCACCACATCCATACCTTCAGAAATCTGACCCTGCGTATTTGAGGACAGTTAAAATTTAATAACTCGTTTCAGGTGACAGACAGGTGACAATTAAGCTACATTAACCCACCAATGACAATATAAGGGCATTTTCACACTATAGTTTTGCTCTGGACTGGAGACTGTTAGCAGTCAGACGTTTGGTCCCATGTTTTTGCACTTTGGTGCGGTCCAGAGAACCGATCCTTGGTCCTCCTGAAAACGGTGGCCTGGGGTCCGCACCACGTCTGAAAGCTATCTGCTTCTGGTGCTGTGCTTTTAATAATGTGATTGGCTCAACTTGTGATGTAATCTGCTTTTTCAATGAAATATGAGTGATATAAAATAACAAAATAACAAAATTACAGTCTGTTTTGGTTGTTACTGCCAGTGATAACTGCAACCTCTAAGGTTTAAAGTAGGTGTGCTAGAGCAGGGAAAACCAAATGTTATAAATAGAGCTGGGTACAGTTTGATTTTTTTGATATCAATAAAAACACAGATACCTTGATTTCAACACTGAACTGAACAATACTTTTTTCAATACTTTCTTTTAAATTACACAGTGTAAGGAAGTGGGTACATTTCTTGACTGCAATAGACTGTAGATTAACCAAAAGTGTCTATGTTAAAAACATGTAATTAAGCCAGCCCATCAGCAGTCTAGATTTAGGAACAAGCATGCCAATTACCTCTCTGACGCTGATTACACTGACAGAAACTGGGTACTGCATGACCTGCATTTTTCAAGACTCCGCAGTAAAGAAGCAATTTGGTGAGTTCCATGAAAGTACTGACTTTCCACACCAGCCTTAGCTATGAAGCTGCAAATCAAAACACTGCAGACAGAAGAACACAAGCATACCATAAAAACAGCTCTCTGGAAGAAGTTGGTGGTGTCCATGATGCGCTGGAGCAGGATGGTCTCCAGCTCGTCCGGGTCCATCTCCTCACTGCTGAAAGGAACCCCATTAAACAGGGCCACAGGAAGTGCTCCCAGGCCACTCTTCCTGTAGAACACTCCTCCAGCCTAAAACGTCGCACCATCATTCAGAGGAAAAGGTTAGAAAATGAAGGAACAACAGCAATCCAGGACTCCACATGTCCTAATCTCATAGTTTATTCTAATAAGCCGCTGACTGAGACCGAGACCACTGAACAGCTGCTAATGCAACATCACTGGACAGCTCAACACGCTTGGAGGAGAACAATTCTCTTATCCAGCTAACAGACCCTCTTCAGCTAGCATAGCCCTGAGTGATGAGGGAAGGGAGGACCATCCTACCCACTCAGGGAAAGAGAGAAGAGTTATGCTCTTCTGGACGCCCACTTACGGATGGCTATGGCATCACCAGGGACTGAACTCAAGATCTTGTGATGATAGTGTCAGTGCTAAGGTGACAGTGCTGTCAAAACTACTCGATTAAACTTAAGAACTCAATAAAAATAAATAAACAAAATATTGCAACTTCTTATTGAATCGACTGACCATCTGCACTACGACAATACATATTTTACAAGATCCAATTCTCTTGCTGGTCTCTTTTACAGAAAGAAAAAGACTCTGATGGACATACTTAGAAAGTATTGGAGAGGGTTTGTATGGCTTGTTATCGCCAAGCTAATTTTGCTCAATTTATCATCATCAAAATATTCGGCATAATAATTTAAGTACTAAGATAATTCACAGTGACAGCCCTAGTATGTGGCTCACAATCTTAGGTACACCAGAGACATGTTTTTTTTTCCATTTATTTTTCTATTTCCCTTAGCCACAGTCACTCATTTATGACTGTATCCTGAGTCTCCTGAGAAACAAACAAGGTTCTTTTCTCAGGTTTGAAGCCCTCAGTTATTTATAATACTCATTTATTTACAACAGAATGTCTAGTGTCTCAACTACTGATTGTAGTTGTGTCCTGATTTCACAAACAGCTGCTTGCATGTGTTTGCAACAGAATGCATGGTGCTCTGATATAAGCCTTATGAGGTGTGCCAATAGTTACAGGGGAAATACAAAGTATAAAAGCCTTTGTGCTGGAATTGTTGTCAGACTGGGCTACTGCAGATGGACAGAGCGCTCTTAAAACATAATAAAGTTATACTGACCGTTACTGACTGATTGGCTGCCACAGCTTTGAACTGACACATCACTGAACACTGATCTGACTTTCCATAAGTAAATGTGTTTAATTATGTACACCTTCATGCTTCTACACTCTGTGTCCATCTTATCAGCTCCACTTACTATATAGGTGTACTTTGTAGTTCTACAGTTACAGACTGTAGTCCATCTGTTTCTCTGCATACTCTGTTAGCCCCCTTTTACCCTGTTCTTCAGTGGTCAGGACCCCACAGGACCACTACAGAGCAGATATTATTTGGGTGGTGGATCATTCTCAGCACTGCAGTAACACTGATGTGGTGGTGGTGTGTTAGTGTGTGTTGCATAAGTACGAGTGGATCAGACACAGCAGTGCTGCTGGAGTTTTTAAACACCTCAGTGTCACTGCTGGACTGAGAATAGTCCACCAACCAAAAATATCCAGCCAACGGCATCCTGTGACCACTGATGAAGGACTAGAGGATGACCAACACAAACTGTGCAGCAACAGATGAGCTATCGTCTCTGACTTTACATCTACAAGGTGGACTGACAAGTTTGGAGTGTCTAATAGAGTGGGCAGTGGGGGACACAGTGTTTAAAAACTCCAGCAGCACTGCTGTGTCTGATCCACTCACACCAGCGCAACACACACTGACACACTAACACACCACGTCAGTGTTACCGCAGTGCTGGGAATGATCCACCACCCAAATAGTACCTGCTCTGTGAGGGTCCATGGGGGTCCTGACCACTGAAGAACAGGGTAAAAGGGGGCTAACAAAGTATGCAGAGAAACAGATGGACTACAGTCTGTAACTGTAAAACTACATAGTGCACCTATATGGAAAGTGGAACTGATAAAATGAACAATGAGCGTAGAAACAAGGAGGTGTACTTAATGATGTGGCTGGTCTGTGTACTACACTGCATTCAATAATCTATACAGAATATTTTTCAGCATATTACTTTTGTATGTGTTCTTCACTTCACAAATTTATGCAGAGCGTCTACACAACTCCTCAGATACCATTTCAGATTACGCCAGTCAACAGATCTTTCCTGCCTTTGTGTGTACGCTCTACTGTCAATAGCTGCTGGTCACACTGTGCTATCTAAAGTTAAATCTCATGCTTTCCTACAGTCTGTTATATGTGAATAACTCTTATTCCAGCATTCTTATCTACATATTCCTTATCTACCATCACGTAATATAAGAAGTCCCATGCATAGCTCCACAAAGCCGAAAGCCAGTCTTTATTTAAACCTCCAGAGTGATCATTCTGTGGTTAAAACAATACTCGGCTAATATAACTTTTCATACCTTTCGCTTGTCGTCATAGTCTGAGTCCTCCCCAAGAATTCTGTCAGCATTCGCTTTTGGAAATTTCTTCTTCAGATATGCAGTCACTGTGTCAACAGATAAGGAATCTCCGACATCGACTCTGTTATACATCTGCAAACGCATAAACAAGTCATTTTAGATCTCATGATCACTGTCCATTACAGCTAAAAGCCCCCTGAGAGGAGCTAATACTTCAGGCAAAGCCTTTCTATTCTGCTCTTTTATTCTTATAACGTCTAGGACAACAACTCCTCAGAGACCACAAATGAATCTCTCTGTACGCATGAAAGTGAACTTAGCTACAGTACTTTGCAAAAGTCAGAGACCTTCCTTCATGTATTTAATTTCCAGTTAAAAGCGGCCTTTAAGCACAAGTTGCTCATTTTTTATATTTCAGGGGGTTTTTTAAACGGTTCAAAAAATGATTCAAATATACAGAGAAAATGGCCTAACAACCACCTGCAAGGCCTTGGTGGACCACCAAAACTATCACCTTCAGATAAACAGTACGTAAAACAGTATTTCATTCTGCCGACTAAAAAAAAAAAAAAAATCTGTAAATGTAAATGGTTAAGATGAATACAAAGTCTTTCAGAGTGGTTTGCTGTGAAATGTGTGCTTGAGAAACTTACTGAATCAAAATTGTTTGAAGTCTGAAGAGTTTAATGCCTCTAAAAGCTCGTTCGCAGAAAGTTATTACATGAAATTGTTATGAATCTGATGCCTGAGACATTATTTTATAATGCTTGTGATAAGATTTTGGCCTAAAACATATTTTGAAATCTATTCATGGTGGAGAGATACATGTAGGCCACTGTATGGCAAAAAAGCCCCCACTATTTTATAATCAACATTACATAAAAACTAAGATGAAACGTGTAGGTTCACGTGTCATTTTTGATAGTAAATAATATATTTTTATGCTATAGCTGTGTTACATCCCAACCCCTGGTTCCTATCACCACCACTGTAGAGAAATCCTTTTGGTATGTTTCCCTACAACTAAGCATTTCACATCAAACCACTCTGAATGTTTACATCTTATTGACTGAATTATGCAGAATTTTATGAAATATCAGTGGAAATTCTCTGATTTTCATTTTCATCTTTGAGAGAGAGGAGAAAATCAAGCTGCTTCAGATCTGAAAAAATCCACAGCCATCCTTCCTCAGCGAGAAGACAACTCAGTGCTGTGGGTCTGAAAGGATGTGTAGCTGTCAAGAAGCTCTTACTGAGAATAGAAGATAAACACAAACAAAAATCAGGGAAAATCAAAGAAAGAAGCTGCTGGTGTTCTCAAAGCAATGGACTGAGCACCCCAGAGTCCAGACCCCAACATCACTGAATGTGTTTGGGATTACTTGGATTGTGAAAGGCAGAAAATGCTAAACCAACTTCTATAACCGAACTTCGGAAGTGTGGAAAAATATCCCTGCAGATTTCTGTGAAAAACTGAAACCAAGTCTCCTAAAAAGAATAGAAGCTGTAACAAAGGCAAAGGGTGGGCACAATAAACACAGAACAATTTGATATTATATGCAAATGTTGAGGCTTCTGTGTCATTTTTTGTTACATTTGTTAAACGTTTGTTTTCTGCTGTTGCTCTGATGCTGAAGATTAATAGCTTAATGACTAAAAATATAAAATTAAAGGATGGTCTCTGACTTTTATTCAGTACTGTATATTTTCAAATACTAGACTTAAAGCCAAAGGAAAAAGCTCACAAACTGGACATTTTTGCCAGCGTTAAAGCTAACGCTACGGCTACTCACAGACACCATGGATAAGAAGGCCTGGGTCATGTCGTACTCCTCTGTGATGTAGTTCAACACTCTGAAGAAAGCGACCCCAGCGTCCTTGTATCCGTCCACTTTGTCATCTGTATTGACAACAAAGACAAATCCAATCCTAAAAGAAAGAAGGAAATAATGACTTTACTTTCGCTGATGTTAAGTTGCATCTACAAATGAGGTGCCATTAAACAGCTATGGCAGCAATCAAGTAATTAGGGGCACATAATGAGAGTAATTAATGATAATAGCATTGTCTAAAATCACTTTCTCTTGTTTCACGTTTTTTTTTCCAATCTCCAGTCCCATAATGCACAGTTCAGAGATTTCCATATCATTAACTAACCTTTAGCTTTATTTGCCTTACATCAATAAACCGCTCTTATCTCCAAAATGGTAACTTTACAGGAGAAGGAAAAAACATACTCTACTTTTAATGTAAGTCAATGGAACCAGACGTTTATCCAAGTCATTTTGGGCTGTTTCTTTTGGTCGATTCATCATGAAATTTGTACACAAAGTAAAGGTCAACACGCTTTTTCAAATTAAGTCAAAAACTGAAAAATGGAGAAAATGGCAAAAATGGAGATATGAGATTTTGTTTCGACAGCAGCGAATCGCAAAATTAGCTAAGGATGAATCTCTTGTTTTTTTTTATCCCTTTAATTGTGATCTTAGTACATGCACTGCAGTACATCTGATCTAAGTCACTACAGTTTAATTTCTTGTACTCAATGTATATTATTCTATTTTATTATTCTATTATTTTCCTATATCTATTCTAAGCTTGCAGAGCACTGTGAATGAGATTTGGGTATGAAATTTAGTGGTGCAGAAATGGAGCAGTACCACCTTGTGATATAAAATATGGTTCATTTACCTAAAAAAAATTATATAGTCATCGTGGCAGCCTCCTCGCAACTCTCACAGTTTCAAAACCATTGTACTAGAGGACTGGAGCTGGCAAACATTGTCAGATATTTACAGGGTCATTAGATTAATAAATGTTATTGCTGTGTGACCAAGGACTCACCTGAGGGGAATCTTATGCTTGTAAAAGAGCTCGGCCAGTTTGACCAGCTCAATGCTGTCTTCCTGGACTGGGTCAAGAAACAAAACCTGGAAAAACAAGTTGGTAAAATCTGTTAAACCTGCACAGAACAAAAACGACGACAACAAAAACAGCACAAAAGCAACTAATGCTGGGTGCCCACTACATGATCTTCAGCCTGATTTTACCCTTGATTTGCCTATTCCCACAATTTTTCACAGTCAGAATGGAGCTTCCAGGTTAGGAGCGCAACTGGGAGGAGCTAATGGCTCAGATGATCTGGTACTGTGAGAAGGGAAAGGAGTTAATCTTTAGCCTTCTGATCCGCTGCAGTTCTGGGATGATTGGAGGCCTTCTGATGTTTTAAAACATCTGATCATCATGACTGAAAATGGGCATAAAAGCACAGACAAGTGTGGTCCAGTTCCAGCTTTGTTTGTGACAGAGAAATCCAGGATTTTGAATGTTTTCATTCTGTATGCGATGTGTTCTCACAGCGAAAAGACTAGAAATTCTGTAAAAGACTGATTTTAATCAATAACATCTGACTGCAGAGCCGTAGATTCACACCAGCAGTTTCACTCCAGCAGGTTCAAGCCAGTGGCATTCAGTGCATGCGTCCAAACAAGTTTTGGTTTTTCTTAGTGAGTTTTAGACTAAGCAACATTTCAGTCGTTTTAGGTGGGTTTCCAATAAATTAATTTTAATTAAATGATAAATTTACATTGGGCTAACGTGATATACGCATATAGAGATTCACAGGGTAAATATGACACAAACTACAGCTTATGCGGCATGGGTAAACTAATGGGTTATACAGACATATAGCTCAATTAACTTACCCGTAATATGGGGGCTTTATGTGGACACTTACATTATATGCACAGGAATAAAAAACTTTACCTTAGTCAACTTAAACTGAGCATAATTTTAAGCTTTAGGCTAAAACAGACTTTTGTTTTTGAACGTATTGCTGCTGAAAAACCCATAGAAACCATTAAGTGTTTATTTTTTATTTCAGATGCTTTTGTAATGTGTTTTGGCTTTTGGTTCAACCGGTTAGCAATGGTTGATTCGCATATTGACAGTATCCCTTCCTGAATGGTAATATGCATAGCCACGTATACAACCAGCACAGTCGCTGTTTACATCAGAGATGTTATAAATGAGGAGACTGGTCACTGGTTTAAATATGAATGGGACGTCCTATAAGGACTTTGTTTACATGGCACAATCGCGCTGTCCTACTGCGCATGCGTTCCACTGGACTAATATCGCTGCAGTGAAACTGCAGGTGTAAATCTGCGGCTCTGCGGTTCTGCAGTCAGACCCTTCTCAATTGAAGTGTGAGTTGTGTATCATATGCCAAGCTTAAAGTGGAATTCCATCATCAAATTTCTGCATAATTCAATCAGCAAGACGTAAACAAAGTCATTCAGAGAGATTTGATGCAAAATATTGCATTCTACTCAGTTCACAGTAGCAGTGATAGGAACCAGATGTCTGAAGAGCTTAATGCCTCTAAAAGCTCCCTCACAGAACGTTACTACAGGAAATGGTTATGGATATGTTGCTTGGTGCCAGTGACATCATTCTATGATCATTTTGAGACGATTCTGGTCTAAAACTTCTTTATTAAAATCCATTCATGGTGGAGAGGTATATTCAGGGCGTCGTGAGGCAAAACGGTCCCCAAAGAGAACTTACTTTTTCAGATTTACCACTATTTTACCATCATCAACATTCCATACAAAAACTCGGAAGACACATGTAGGCTCACTGGTGGTTTTGGATAATAAATAAAATGGCTATATTTGTGTTGTAGACATGGCAACCCCTGGTTCCTATCACCACCACTGTAAATAAACCAGTCTGTAAGCTTCTCTGCAATAAACAGTTTCACATCAAACCACTCTGAATGGCTTTGTTTACACCTCAATGACTGAATCATGTAGAAATTTTGTAAAATTTGTGAAATTCCCCTTTAAGCCGGGGGTGGGCGGGTTCTTGATGAAAAAGCAACACTAAAAATGTACTCTGCTTACATAAAACACACGACTGGAATGAATGAAATACAAAGTAGACCTTGAACGCTAAAATGTTCTACCAACCAAGTTAAAGAAGTTTCGTCGGATTTGTCGAATCACTCCAGGAAATGTAGCTCTGAGGAGCTCCTGGAGGCTAGAAGGCCAATCCCGGTACGTCGAGTCCCTCTCAATATCATTAATCCACTGTAACAGAAAGGAATGAAGAGAAAAATAAGCCTCAAACAGGTGAAATGTGTTCTTATCAAGTACCACTTCATAGTACCAGCTTACTGAAATAGCAATCTGCACCAAATTCAAGGACTTTCAAAGGACCAGCCACGTCCATGTACAAATCCAGGAGACCATCTCTGAGATGTGAATTGAAATACTGCTAAAACATGGAGGAAATCTGCATGATTAAATCATATGTATAAACGTCTCACTGTGGAGACTTGATGAACAGTCTGATCTTTACAGTCCTGAACTACTGATGTGCAGTAATAATAAGCAAAACACGCATCCTCTACTTTGCCTCCCACTCAAACTTTCCCCTCACCATTATAGCAGAGTGCCTGATGTCCAGAGCATAACTGTCCTCCACAGTGGTCACCGGCAACCGCAGGAACTTGCTCATGCTGGTCCCTCTGATGCCCAAGTTATGAAGGCCCTCCAGGAGCTTAGCCTCTCCTCGGACAACATCCAGTATGCTTTTCAAGGAAAGAAAGAAAAGCTGTTTGGTTTAATGGTGGGCAAAGTATTGAAAACATAACATCAGTATGAAGGATGGAACAATTTCAAAATAATACTGAAAAAAAACACATAATAACTGATAATAAATGTGTTAAACACAATCTGAAAAACTCAATAACTTGTTGCTAAGGTTTGGTGCTGGCAGATTTTGCATGTATTGTAATTGTGCTTTTGTGACATGTTGATGCTGCCATTTCATCTTTAAGCAGGTTGAAAATGGAGATATGATGTCGCTGCTGTCAGAACAAAACCTTGTATCTCCAAAATGAGAACTTTACAGGAAAAGAAAAAAAAAACAAACTGTACTTTTAATGTAAGTCAATGGAAGCAGACCCCCCCCCACCCCCAAGTCATTTTGGGCTGTTTCTTTTGGTCCACTCATCATGAAATTTACACACAGTATAAAGGACAACAGGTATTTTCAAATTATATCAGAAACTGTATAACAACAAAAATGGAGATATGAGGTTTTGTTCAGACAGCAGCGATATATAGAGTCTTATATGATGCAGTTCACATAAAAGACTATTTATACTGTTGTACTGTACTGTATGTACTGTTTCATAATTTCGCTGGAGCACAACAGCATGCCACATTCTAGTTTTAAATAAGATTTGGATTTTTCTGAGTCAAACCAATTTTTGTAGTACATGGACACAATTCATTCTACTGAATTACTGGTCATACAGTAAAAATAAAACTACTTAAAAAACAAGTACTTTGATATTTACAGGGATTGTGTTATGATTTACTTAAACCTGAGGCATTCATTGAGAAAGTAATAAGCTAAATATATACACAATCATCATTTATAGGGTATTTTCTGTTGGGAGGTGTTTGTCCCAAAACCCCTACATTTACACCAGGAGAAAAAATTTAGATTTTTTTAAAGTGACGTTACATATTTAGATTTATCATTAGTTTCATTTTTTTTTAATAAAAAACTTGCTAAAATCAAAAAATTCTGTGCCATGTTTTTATGTCACTACTGAAACAGAGTTTTAGTCCAAGCACAGCCCTACTTTAGCCACACCCCTGCATTTTAGAGCAGGAAGTAAGACTGCATCCCTGTCCCTCATGGCCACATGGTGAGCAGTTAGATCCCATTATTTTGAAGTAAATGTGCCCTGAAGTCTGAAAATCAGTGTGGAACATTAGGAATTGTCACCTCCGAAACACATATTTTCTATAAGTTTTTTTGTGGTTTTAATGAAAATATTATGATTTCATATGTGTACAACGATTCAAAGCTATGTTTGCTACCCATGTACTGGCTAGCATTTTTGAGTTACACTCAAAATTAGCTAAAATCGTCACTACTGAAACAGTTACTACAGAAACATTTGGTAAAGTTTCAGTAGTGTTATGACTGTTTTAGTAGTGACAAAATGGAATATTCAATCATTTATTCTAATAATCACAATTAAGGTATACAGTCACTCAAAAAAAAGGGTTTTAGTCTAACATGCAAATCAGTTAAAAGTCCGAAATATGTTTCTCTAATTTTGACTCAATGTTGTAGAATGGTCCATAGAATAATAGCCCTTTAGTTAACACATAACACATCTAAAATTGAGTCTTAACTCAACTGAAAAATCATACTGAACCTGAAAATTATGTATTGATACTTTAAAGCATTTTCATAGTTCATGGTACACATCATAATATTTAATTATTATTAAATATAAAAGAACCCATCAGCAAAAAAGCAGATTTAAAAATACAAAAAAAATGTTTTTATAGCATCAAAAAAAAGCAATAACAAACTGTGCTCAATTAAAAGTTTCCAAAATAAAAAAACAAACAAAAAAAAAAAAATCAACCAATTGGTAAAACTAAATAAATAAAGAAGTAAAACACTTGGAGTTTATGCATTTATTATAGAGTGCGTATCATTGTTTACAGCCTCTAATCGATCTTTATGATCCATGCAGTTATTAGTATTATACTAAGTATTATACTACTATACAGTGTTCTAGAAGCACTGACGATACGCATGATACACTCAGAAAAGGATGACGTCATTTATCACAAGTAATATTTCATCACCCCTGTATTACCCACCCGTATCTAGGCCATGCCCCAAACACGCATGTTATACTCACACAGGGTCGGTGGGTGCTGAAGACTGTCAACAAACTATGTGCAAATGCTGAAGAGTTCCTACCTAAAAGGGTTGTGAAGGTCCAGATCAATGTGTATTCCATTAATGAAGAGACTGGCATCTCCAGGGTGGATTCCCATAGTCTCACTCAGCCGCTGCAGAACAGACAAGATCAGTTTAACAGCACAGCACATGCATAAACATCCACTCTTCAGTTCATGCATATTACTGTCCACAAACATTACAAATATCACTTACTCTCCCATTATATTATATATATGATATAATACATATATCTGAATATCTGAATACACAGTACTGTGCAAAAGTCAGAGACCACCCTTCAAGCGCAAATTGTTCATTTTTCAGCATCAAGAAGGGCGGAAAACTTGGTTGATTTAGCAAGTAATCCCAAACACATTCAGTGATGTTGAGGTCTGGACTCTGGGGTGGTCAGTCCATTGTTCAGCTTCTTTGTTTGATGTGTCTGTCTCCTTTTCTCAGTGAGGTTCTTCTTGAACAGCTACACATCCTTTCAGACCCACAGCGCTGAGTTGTCTTCTCACAGTGGAAGGATGGACAGAAACACCTGTGGATGTTTTCAGATCTGGAGCAGCTTGATTTTCTCCTCTCTCTCAAAGATGAAAGCTGTAAGTGATGTTTACTCGATGGCGGTAGTTTTGGCGTCTACCAGGTCTTCCAGGTGATTGTTAGGAATCCCATTTTGTCTGCATTGGTAACATTTTATTTGGATAGTCCACTTTAGATGCTTTGTAGATACTTAATTTACTTTCAAGTTACATTCAACTAAATATCTACTCAATTGACTATAATTTTCTTTAACTCTAAACCTGCTCTAATCCTAACTCTTACCTTAACCTCAACCCAAAACCTAAACCCAACCCTCACCCTGGTCCAAATCCTAACCCTAACCCCACCACTGTTTAGAATCAACTGAGTTTCAACAGATAATTTGTTAATGATTTGGACATCTGTAGATAATCTATAGGGGACGAAAGTGGACTATCCAAATAAAGTGAGACCAACTCAAGTAGATCATCTCATATCTAATCTTGTCAGAAATATCTCCTGAAAAATTAGTAATTTGTACTTACTGGCTGTTTTAACCAGAAATTAAATAAACAAACGGGTGGTTTCTGATTTTTGCACAGTAAAAGCTTAAATTAGGTTTAGATTACGTCTAATTTTATCTAAAACTGAACAAAACATTCCCTGGAGGCAAACAGCAGCATGTGATGAACCTCGCAAAGTTTTTCACAGGAGCTGTTTATAAAAGTGCACCTTTTGGTTCTCCTCAATTTCTTTCCTCATTTCTTGGTTTACAGCCACTCTCGTCAGTGATCTGTGGGGACAGTAAAACATGCACCGTCACTATCATCTCTTTCCAATGGCCCAGGCCAGTCGTAAAAACCCATTTTAATCTCCAGAACCTGCGCACCTTTAAGATGCTATATCTGCTGAGCTGACTCAGTGTAAACTCCAACAGCCCACTCTGACTCAGCACTTTTCACACAGCACAGCACATAAAAGTGTCTAGAGAACCAGCAGCCCGAAATCACACATTAAAAACAACCCGGAGTCACGACATAAGCAAGCAGTCAGAAATGGGAGCAGGAGGTTTCTTGGAGAGTCAAAAAGAATAGGAAGGTCCGATGCTGGCAAGCTCTAAGATGAACTCCATTAAATAACCGCTTCACAATTAGAAGATTCGACATAATTTTACATAAATTATGCCAAACAGATTAAAATTTTTGATCAAAAGCTTTCTTTTCATCTTAATTGTTGTGCATGGCAATCCTAGGGACTAATGAAGAACCACCTTAATATTAACCTGAAATCAAAATTAACCTTTGGTACCTTGTTAGTGACTGTCCCCGATCATATTAAGCATAATTCATCATCTTCATCATCTCATGTTTTCCTCTATCTTTCATCAAAACGTAATGACTTTTTGTACCACCTCTAAAATGTAAAAATGTCATGAGATTTTTGATGAAAAAATACAACAGTTAATATCATTTTTCCACCTCCCCCTCCCACCACGCCCACCCATCATAGAGAGAAACCACTCAGCTAGCTCAGAGACGCTCTGTAAAACTATTTTACACCCAGAAATCCATCATGGTATTGAAAGATAATGTGTTTGACTTTCGATTCGCATTGATTTCACCACAAATTACACTGTCATGTGTTTTATGAGCTGTAAAAAAGTTAAATCATGCGGCAGTTCCATTCTGGCGCCTGAGGCACCCGAATACAACTGCTGTACCGGTTAAGGTAGAACAGGAAAATTCGAACAAGAAGCTGAGACACCTGACTATAGCCTAAGTGCTGCACCATTTAAGGTGGAACGGGAAAATCTGAGTAAGAAGGTGGCGAAAAAGAAACTGACTTCAGCTTCATCGAGATGAAAGGCATGAAAAGGGATGAGGAGGTCGCTCCTGCTTGACAGGTGGGTAACATTAACTTGTTTTTTCTGTTTCACAGAGCCAGTAGTTCATTATTGTTTTGTCCCGTTTGCTGATGTTTGTGATAGAAACCGGTTAGCTTCAGCAACTGTAGAGATAATTTGCTAACCCAAATAATGTTAATTGCTAATGTTCTGAAAATCGCAATTACATGTTTTGCCCAAATGGCTCAGCCCTAGCATGAACATGGCTTTGGAAAACGCTTGCAGTCTGAAGTTTTTCCAGTAGGGAGCACTATTAGCACACAAATCACCATAAATCTGCACCAGAAGAAGCTCATTAATGCACATTTTTGCAATAATGTTTAATGTTTACTAAAACGGCAGATAAAGTGGTTTGGTGGATGTTGGGTTACTTAATATTATATTATTTAATATTTGGTTGTATTAAAGATTTTTATTTAAACAGTTAAGGTCAAAAATGCATGGAAACTAAAAAACAGAACAGAAAGTAGGTCAAATCTGCAAGTATTTGTTTCGTGGGGAGGTGGTGGTGGTGACAGAATCAGTAATCAGAATTTTTTTTATCTAGAAAATATGACGCTAATCATTTTTCAATATCTCCCAGGCCTACTATGCATATTGAATATTACACATCAGCCCACAATTCCCATATCAGTGCATCCCTAGAAAGTTTCGTTAACCGATCTCCTCACTGCTGCAATGTAAACATGTTCTCCTTTTAATCACTAAAAGTGGTGCACAGTGGGTGAATGCAGAAGGCAATTTCTTTACCTCGCTCTGCTGGGGAAGTTTTGGCTGAGATCTCGCATCAATTTGAGGGCATCAAACTTTGGCACAGACATGATCCGAGCCGCTGCCTGGAAACTCAGGTCTGTTAATGCAGAGAACGTTCCAGAACATATTTCAGAAAAGGCAATTAACCACAGAGGGTGTCTGTACTATTAGGCATATCGAAGCAATTCATTACGAAGACGAGAGCAGGTTTTCAAGCAACTCAATCACATAATTATTGCAGATAATTGCATAATGGAAGGTAAATGAATATATAGCTTTCAAACATTCACTCTAGGCCATTCAGGAAGAATGAATGAGTAAGTAATTAGCGTGTTGGAGAGGAGGACACAATCAGCCTTTATGGCTGGTTTTGATGTAAAAGTGAAAGGACCGTTCATTTCTTCATTGAATAATGGCTCCTTTCAGCATACATTATGGAGATAACATGTTATGAATAATTGGCCTCTTTCTTTTTTCAGACTGTACATCAAAACTGAACCCACAAAGAGCAACTACCACCAAGTAAACTTGGCTCCAGCCATTAGCATCTGTTCAGCAGTCAACACATGGGAGCAGAACAGATCGCTGCGCCAAAGATGGGCGGAAAACACAACGTTTCCTCCTCTTCTCCATTCATCACCCAGACACTTCTCCTGGGCCAGTACAGATCGCTTTCCTATCCCTGTGTGACGCTCCCTTGGACCCACGTAGAGCCCTGGACTCCAGGTTTAAAAGAGGGTCATTAATAAAAGCAGCAGGCCTACCTTGCAGCTCCCACACTTTGAGAGGGGCCATGTCGTTGGTGCTTTCTATGAGATGCCTCTTCAGTTCGCCTAACTGCTCCTGCAGTTCCGGATGAGACTCCCTACACGAGGTAAACGAAGAGCATTAATTGACAGCTCCATGCTCTGCCCACAAATGCATACTTTCACAGCTACTTTAAGTAGGCCTGTCACTGTTGTTACATAATTGCTTGCTCGCAATTGTTTGAGCTGAATGCAATTATTTTCCAAAGTTTGCTTTCACAATTATATGTTTACGTTGCAACAAACAGTTGAGTTGGATCGGGTTCAGGCAAATGAAGTCAACACATGGAAGCAGAACAGAAAGCAGAATGCATTTAAAAAGCATTCGTCCATCACACATTCATTCAAAGCTCTAACTTCAGCGTGGTACACATTTAGAGTGTAGTGGTGAGTAATGATTGTACATTTGATGTTTTTTAATAACACCTTTAGAGGGCGGCAGTGAGCAATGTTTGTTTATTTGATGTTTGTTAACATCTCTAGAAGGTGGTGGTAAGTAATGTTTGTTTATTTGATGTTTGTTAACATCTCTAGAAGGTGGTGGTAAGTAATGTTTGTTTATTTGATGTTTGTTAATAACACCTTTAGAGGCCGGCAGTGAATAAAGTTTATTAGATGTTTGTTAATAACCCCTTCAGGGGGTGGTGGTAATGCTTGTTTATTTGAAGTTTGTTTCTGACACCTTTATAGGGCGGCAGTGAGTAACGTTTGTTTATTTGAAGTTTGTTAATAATGTCTTTAGAGGGCGGTGGTGAGTAGTGTTTGTTTATTTGAAGATTGTTTATGACACCTTTAGAGGGCGGCAGTGAGTAACGTTTGTTTATTTGATGTTTGTTAATAACCCCTTTAGAGGGCGGTGGCGGTAATGCTTGTTTATTTGATGTTTGTTTATGACACCTTTAGAGGGCGGCGTTGAGTAACGTTTGTTTATTTGATGTTTGTTTATGACACGTTTACAGGGCAGTGGTGAGTAACGTTTGTTTATTTGATGTTTGCTAATAATGCCTTTAGAGGGCGGCGGTGAGTAATGTTTATTTGATGTTTGATAATGACACCTTTAGAGGGCAGCAGTGAGAAATGTTTATTTGATGTTTGATAATGACACCTTTAGAGGGCAGCAGTGAGAAATGTTTATTTGATGTTTGATAATGACACCTTTAGAGGGCAGCAGTGAGTAATGTTTATTTGATGTTTGATAATGACACCTTTAGAGGGCGGCGTTGAGTAACGTTTGTTTAAATGATGCTGGTTAACAACAAACATTACTCAGTACTGCCCTCTAAAACTGACCTTAACAAACATCAATAAACAAACATTACTCACTGCTGTACTGTAACTTTACAGATTTTTACCAGCACTGAGAAAACTGCTGTTTTTATACAATTATTGTAGGTTGAATGGGATTTTTGCCATTGTTGCCAACCTCATAGCTAAAAAGTAATGCATCTGTGGGCGGAGCATGAATAGGTCAATTCAGATTTGTTTGTATTCAGGTTTGTAATCTAAACAAAAGTGAAGACACAAAAAATATTGTTTGTTAAAATATTGGTTCTTAAAGGAAAAATTTAGTATTCAAATTTAGTATTCAAATAAACAAGATTAGATACTGGAAGAATGAATATACTTACTTTAATTTTCCAAACAAAAACCCTTGAACCTCATCATGGTCATCTTCCTCGTGGGTTGTGGATGATTTTGAATCTTAAAAAATAAATAAATAAATAAATAAATCTCTAAAAATCTACACAAAAAAAATCTCCCAAAAAAAAGGCAAATCACAAGGCACTGCTTTGCCAACAGGGTACCATAATATATACCTTTAACTTGGGTGTCATCCACAGCTTTATACTCGGTACTTTTGATTGCCAGTTCTACTCCATATCCAGATAAAAGCATGTTCTGCTTCTTTGTGTCCTGTAGTGAGACAGAGCACTTCAGATGAACAGAATCACGTAAGTTTTCAAATGAATATGTAACTTTTTATTAACACTTAGAGTGGATTCCACCTACGGTTGGAAGGTTTACTGAACAAAATTGACGCTCAAGGTACTCACAGCCACGAAATGCCGCAGCACATAGACCAGCTTCCCCTCTTCGGCCCTCTCAGAAAGAACCTTATGGAATGTGTTGAATTTTTTGGTCCCGATCTCAGCATAGAGAATAACCACAGGAAGATCCGTCCCGTTGGCTCCTGGGTACTTGTGATCGTTCTTATAAAGGTATGGCTTTGGCCTGTAAATATGAAGCTGTTTAGGCATAACAAACCAAAACTACAGGCATTTTAATAAAGAGTCTATGACTGTGTGGCTCGTTTTTGGTTAGTTTAAGCCAGGAATGTGCGCTGGTACTCCAGCACTCGCTTAACCATTCCAGATGTTTTGCTCATATTTAGGATTACATAAATGTATTATACTGTAAAAATCTGTTGAAAAATAAAGTCTGGCAGCAGGGGGTAAAACCTGTTAATTAACAGTAAAAAGTATGTTTTTACAATGAGGGTAAAAATCTGTAAAATTACAGTCACTTTTTTTCTTAGGAATACCACCTTTTACAACAATTCAACAGTTTCACTACTTCATATAGTTATTCTGACGTACAGTATTTTACCAAAATAGTAGTAGGAACAACCAATAAAATAAACACAAATGTGAAAACAAAGGTGATCATTTATTAAAGTAACATATCTCCAAAATGGTAACTTTACAGGAGAAGCAAAAAACATGCTTTACTTTTAATGTAAGTCAATGGAACCAGAATGTTTTCCAAGCAATTTTGAGCCAGTTCTTTTGGTCAATTTATCATGGGATTTACAAACAACATGAATGGCAACAGGCATTTTCAAATTATCTCAAAAACTGAAAAAATGACAAAAATGGAGATACAAAGTTTTGTTCCGACAGCAGCGATATGTATGGTTTATCTACATGCATTTAACCTTTTTTTTCTCAAAACAGGTACTGACCACTGACCACGCTTTTTATAGTGCATGTTATACTTTGCTAAAACCAAACAAGAGTGCTGTAACATTGGCACACTATCAAGAACCCATTGTGGATGCTGGCCTATCGCTGTAACTTCAGCACCAAGCTACTGACTGGGTCTATTCATGTTTTTAGCACTAGTAACAGTGAAGGGTCTTTGTATTTAGCTGTATAGAGCCTCCTTTTTTTTTTTTTTAACAGTGTTTAAGAATGTCGAGAGAGTCTTAGGTTTTGTAATGGCTCAGTGGTCACTGTTAAAGTTAAGCTAATGTTCCTCGTAACAAGAGACTTGCTATGCACGTTGGTATACGCTCAGCTGATGTAGTAGTCTACAATTATAAGCAGAAGAAGTACACCTTGGGAAATGGTAGTGTCCTCAAAATCACACTAGATTTCCATTTTACAGTTTGAAATCTAACAGAAAAATGGCCAACATATGCAACATTGAAATAAAACGCAAACAGAGATCCATTTTGGTGACAGTGTAGCTGTAAACGAGGCTATCAGGCTGAACAGAGGTGGCCAATATGACGATATTTCAGCATTATCGAGATCAATTTTGTTATCATGATAAAATACGCTTTTTTGCACATATTGTGAATATCGTCCGTTTAAAAAAAAAAAACTTGACTAATTACATGCTTCATTAATGAGAGAGAATAATTAGCCGTGTTTAACTAGATTTAGCGCAGCACAATGTGTGAAATGCTGAATAAAAACACTGTATCCAGAGTTTCTGACTGCAGTTTTTAAAACGTGGCACTGCTACTGGACATGCATTGTGTATTTCTAATCTGCCCTTAATGAAAACTCGGATTTCCGTCCTGTTGATCACTTCTGTTCACGAGGGATCACACTCTCGCCATTGACTCAGCGAGCAAGCAGCAGAATCAGCAAAGCGTGAACAAACATAATTTCCGATGTAAGAAGCTTAATATCCCGGGCAACCGCTGTGTTTACACCCCAATAAACAAAACTGCTTACAAAGAAGAGAACTACTGCTTGGGTAAATTCCGCATGGACGAAAGCGCGTTACCTGCCTGCGGCAGCCTTCAGGAGCTTCTTCATTTCCTTGGTGCTGCAGGCGTGCTGGCCGTGCACGGACACAAACGCAGAGCACGCCTCAGGTGGAGGCTCATCACTGGCAATCTGCAGAGAATAAAAACAAGTGAATTAAGTTTTTTTACTTCTCTATTAGAGACATACAAAAATAGCAAAGCTGTGATGATAATGAAATCTGGGCTGACGAGAACAAATTTTTTGCATTTTAAAACAAGTTTACAAACAAGCAAACTATGGGTGTGTCTCAAAACCTAGTGAGCTCTCTACATAGACAGCATTTTACGTCACAATATGCGCTCCCGAAAAGAAGGCTGTCCCAATTCTTAGATATCTCAAATATGCTGCCTACTGAGATACCTCATTTTGGCCCAATATCGAGAGCATCGGATGTTTCCTCAGCCGCTGAGGCAATCCCGCGATGCAGCGCGCCGCAACTTTTGTTTGAAGATGGAGATCAGAAGCGCTTCACCAAGCAGTGACGTCATCTTCAAATGTAAGTTATTCTGATTTTCTGTTTATTTATCTATTTACTCGTCATAAAGGTGCTCAAATAGCCTATACTTTCCGCGTTTGACCACAACTGTTGTCTATTTTGCTGTTTCATTCAGAGCAAATACAATTAAAATCGCTATATAAACTGCCAGAGCAGATCCATGTTGGCTAAATGTGATTCCGACGGCTGAGGTAAGTAAACGCCAGTCTCGTGCAGTGGGCGGGAACAAGCGGCGACGTCTTTGCTGTCTAACTAGAGCGTCTCATTTATCTATCTTATAAGGACAGACGACGGTTGGAACGCTGCCTACTTAGACAGCTGCCTAGGTGGACAGCGGCTACTTAGAGAGCTCACTAGGTTTTGAGACACACCCTACGTATCAAAAAAACTGGTGCTAAATTATTGATTACAATTAATCAGCTGTAATTCCAATATCAGACTGATAATAATGATACATTTTTCTATTTCTCTGCAAATAATACATCAGCCACAAGTTTAATGTGCACTGCTAGAAAGATTGTTAACCTGGCAAATACGTGAAATCTATCTGGGAACAGTTAGTATGCTACCTAGCTAGCTGTGTCTGTCTGGGTGCTTCATTTCTAAAGAGGATTTTTTCTAAATTTCTAAAAATGGTTTAGATGTAAGCAAAGTCATTCAGAGTGGTTTGATGTGAAACTGTGCATTCTACAGAAATTTACAGACTCATTCCTTTACAGTGCTGGTGACGTCTACAACACAAATATAGCCATTTTATTCACTATCTGAACCTCCAGTATTGCCTTAATCTATTTGACCTGTTGCTGCAGTGATAAAAAAAAATGACAGCTGAAATCTAAACGCGTTTTCCCATTGAGTTACTTCTGCTGCATTTAAAACTGCACACTAGTGCACTAAATAGTGTGTAAAAAAAGTGCAGTACCATTAGAAGTGCACCCATTAGCTTAGCAGGTGAAGTATAGAAGTGTGTGGTTTGGGATGCAGCATAAGATCAGCCAGTGAGACACGTTCAACCGTCCAGCAGCTCCAGCTGATCATAGCTTTGCTGCGCTGCTTGTTAGCTGATCATTAAACACTTCCAAGGAAAAGTTGAAGTTATTTCAGAATTGAGGATGCATTTAAGGGAGGTAAACGGTCAACAAATTTCTCTGTGATATCATGTTGGGTTTTTATTCACCAGCTTCTTTTTTGAAATTCGTTCGCAATTTAACTGCAGCACCATTTAAGAAGCTGGCAGATAAGAAACTCCAGCTTAACTGTGTTTATTATATAAGAAAAACTTTTAAGAATGTTGGCAGTTTTGGTAGTTTTTGTAAAATCTTACACAGTGGAATTTTCTGAACTTCCATCAATCTAATCTTCTCCATGTAGCATTTTTTTTTGGAGACCGTGTCCACATAACTTTTCAGTTTTTCTGTGGTCATTTCTGGTCTATTTTTCTATTTATCCACCTTTACCCACCAGTGTTGCAGCTGCAGAAATGCTGACTAGACATCTATCAGAGCACAGTCAGAGTTACAGCTTGCCTGCCAAAATGGCGGCGGGATGTTCATTGATTGACGCAACCGAATACTATGAACACTTAAGCTTATTACAGTGAGGCAGTGGGTATGTGGTGAGGTCTCACCTGTTGGAATGCATGCACAGCAGGCGAGTAGGCTCTGAGAGACAGGGCGAGCTTGAGCAGGCTGACCTGAAGACCCGACAGGAACTGACTGGCCTTTCTAACGATGAGGTTATAGTATGATCGGACAGATTCTGGGGGGCAAATGAAAATATACTGATTAAAGTTCCACAAATCATCCATCTCAGAAACATTTCATCCACTCCGCTGACTTGGTCAGAAGTTTCAGGCTGGCTAAAAACATGCTGCCTTAAAATACACCCACCCCCCCCCCTTCAGCGTGCAATCACATACCTTGAAGAGCAATCACAAGCCAAACCTCTGCACTGAGTATAAGTGAGGATTTTAAAGAACACATCACAGTGTATTTTAACCAAAGCTCAAGAAAATCACGACTGAACTACTATAAACAACAACACAGAATTAAGAGGAAATTCAAAGAGGGTGAGTTTTCCGCACTCACCTCCGTGTTTGTACACCGTCAGCTCCTTCACAGTGTCGACAAACTGCCAAAACCTTTCATCACCACTTTCACTGATGAACTCGCTAAAGATTGGAGAAAAGATTAAATCAGTGTGCGTCTGCCAAGACAGCCCAGCAGCTGCATAGCAAAAAAGGAATGTCTCACAGGGGTGTGAAATGCATCGATCTGAAGGTGCGGATTTAACCGCATTCATTTTGGAGCGTAAGAATCAATTATAGTTAAATAAAGCATGCATGCGTTAATTTATTAGGCAAAATAAAATTAATAAAATTCATAGGTTATTTTAAATGGAAATATTGAAGAGAATTTACACTACTGTGTGAATGCAGTACTGTGCAACAGTCAGAAACGCCTTATTTATTTCATTTCCAGTAAAAACAGACACTAAGTACAAGTTATTCCTACTTCAGCATTAAAACAGAAAATATGTAACATAAAATTACACACAAGCCTACTAAAGATCATTTCTTTTCACTATTTACTGCGTCCACACCTTACCTTTATTACAGCTTCCATTCTTTTCAGGAGACTCACTTTCAGTTTTTTAAAGAAATCTGCAGGGATATTTTTCCACACCTCCAAAGTTCAGTCTTAGAAGTAGAGAACCTGCTCCTCCAAAGTTACATAGCGCCATAGCAGGCTTTCTCAGCCCGGAGTGGAAATGACAGAGACGCCTTTTTCCCTATTATACATCTGTGTACCATCAAAATGATTTTGAATCTGTTATTTTAAGGTAAAACTGTTACATAATGTTGCTTAAATAGCTGTTTTGACTGGAAATTAAATAAATAAAAGGAGGTCTCTGACTTTTGCACCATTCTGTCATTCTGCCAGTCATATTTATGTATTTTGATACATTAAGTTTACAATAAAGTTTGAAATATTTAGTGCATTCAAAGCATGTTTGAGAACTCAACTGAGATTTGAATCATTTGCTAATGATCCACTGACGTACAGGTCCTTCAAATCAACAGAAAGTGGAAATCATAACGCATGGTCCTTCCATACTGTGACGTACACTGATCAGGCATAACATTATGACCACCTCCTTGTTTCTGCGCTCATTGTCCATTTTATCAGCTCCACTTACTATATAGGTGCACTTTGTAGTTCTACAGTTACAGACTGTAGTCCATCTGTTTCTCTGCATACCTTGTTAGCCCCCTTTTACCCTGTTCTTCAGTGGTCAGGACCCCCCGTGAACCCTCACAGAGCAGGTACTATTTGGGTGGTGGATCATTCTCAGCACTGCAGTAACACTGACGTGGTGGTGGTGTGTCAGTGTGTGTTGTGCTGGTACGAGTGGATCAGACACAGCAGTGCTGCTGGAGTTTTTAAACACTGTGTCCACTCACTGTCCACTCTATTAGACACTCCTACCTTGTCAGTCCACAAGATGTAATGTCAGAGACGATAGCTCATCTGCTGCTGCACAGGTTGTGTTGGTCATCCTCTAGTCCTTCATCAGTGGTCACAGGACACTGCCCACAGGACGCTGTTGGCTGGATAGGTTTGGTTGGTGGACTATTCTCAGTCCAGCAGTGACAATGAGGTGTTTAAAAACTCCAGCAGCACTGCTGTGTCTAATCCACTCAGACTAGCGCAACACACACTAACACACCACCACCACGTCAGTGTTACTGCAGTGCTGAGAATGATCCATCACCTAAATAGTGCCTGATCTGTGAGGGTCCATGGGGGTCCTGACCACTGAAGAACAGGGTAAAAGGGGGCTAAAAAAGTATGCAGAGAAACAGATGGACTACAGTCTGTAACTGTAGAACTACAAAGTGCACCTATATAGTAAGTGGAGCTGATAAAATGGACAATGAGCGTAGAAACAAGGAGGTGGTCATAATGTTATGCCTGATTGGTGTATTTGCGAATTAAATACAGTTTCATGGAGGGTTTATGAGCTAGCTGAGCATTTTCTCTCAATGGCAGGTGATTGGAGGTGAACGATGATATTTAATAATAGTAATAATAATAATAAGAAGAAGAATTCACCTCACCTGCTTGTGCATGGTGATGTAATGAAATAAGTGGATGTTTAAGAGGTGGGGCTAAAACTACACTTTGATGGAAGATTACAGGAAAACAAGAATTAAATGGTGTGTTGATGAATTAGCAGCTTACCTGGTCTCCAGTAAGAGTGGAGTTTGAGGCCATTTGGCCTTCAAACTGGCAGTGACTCCTTTCGATGCTGAGTGAACATGGTGAAGCTGAACCAGCATCAGCAGCAGCCAGAGGATCCTCATGGTCTTACACTGTGAAGAAACACAGTTCTGATCAGCTGACCATTCGAAGATGCACACACAATGGCTATGTGAACTATCTGTCCAAAAGTATCCAGACAGCCCTTCTAATCAGGGATTTACTTTAAGTAGTTACTTTAAGGTGCAGCCACTGCTGACACAAGTGTTCAGTTGCTGACACAGCTTGTTTAATCTCCACTGAAAAGCACGGCCAACAGAATGGGACGATCTGGAGATGACCATCCCCAATGCTATGTGACAGCCAGAGAGGTAAAAAGCCCCTCAGCTTTGGGCTGTGGAACTGCATTCTCTGGAGTGACGGAGCTCTGAAAAATAGTGCTTTTACAGTAGACTAAGCTCTTTGTAATAAATAGCAAAATCACTGTGAATCTAAACTGATTTTCTCGCAACAAGTCTAAAAACTGTGTGTTTTGCTATTGGGAAGTTGCTGCTCTTCAATGTTTACCACAATGAAAACTTGCAAAAGAAGACAGTGACCTCATGTGAGGCCATTCATTTTAACAAGAAATGATATGTCGTGTCCGCAATGGTCCCCTAATCCCTAAAACCCTACATTCAAAACACTGGATCACTATATAAAACGCTATTATAGGGAACAGAATTTGTGATGGTAGTAAATGATTTCAGACACCACGTCACATAGATTTGCTCATTAATGTGCAACAGAAGATTCTGTTTAAGATTCTGTATAAGCACTATAAATGTCACGCCACCACTCCACTATAACCACATGAGAAGAGTTTACGTACATCTGTAATGGGTCTGGAGAGAGGTCTGTGGAGACACTGCCATTGTAGCTGGGCTCGCTAACTCTACTCAAACAACGCAGTGCATTATGGGTATCCCTTGTCGGCTAGGGTACATCAGTTCTATACTACCTATTGCGATGCACTGTGGGACTGTTCGAATGCACTGGATCTTCAGCACTATGTTATCAGACACCACTAAAAAAAATTGAAACCCCAAAATAGTGCCCTATACACCGGTCAGGCATAAGATTATGACCACCTCCTTGTTTCTACGCTCATTGTCCATTTTATCAGCTCCACTTACTATATAGGTGCAGTTTGTAGTTCTACAGTTACAGACTGTAGTCCGTCTGTTTCTCTGCATACTTTGTTAGCCCCCTTTTACCCTGTTCTTCAGTGGTCAGGACCCCCATGGACCCTCACAGATCAGGCACTATTTAGGTGATGGATCATTCTCAGCACTGCAGTAACACTGACGTGGTGGTGGTGTGTTAGTGTGTGTTGCGCTGGTACGAGTGGATCAGACACAGCAGTGCTGCTGGAGTTTTTAAACACTGTGTCCACTCACTGTCCACTCTATTAGACACTCCTACCTTGTCAGTCCACCTTGTAGATGTAAAGTCAGAGACGATAGCTCATCTGCTGCTGCACAGTTTGTGTTGGTCATCCTCTAGTCCTTCATCAGTGGTCACAGGACGCTGTTGGCTGGATAGGTTTGGCTGGTGGACTATTCTCAGTCCAGCAGTGACACTGAGGTGTTTAAAAACTCCAGCAGCACTGCTGTGTCTGATCCACTCAGACCAGCGCAACACACACTAACACATCACCACCACGTCAGTGTTGAGAATGATCCACTACCCATATAATACCTGCTCTGTGAGGGTCCATGGGGGTCCTGACCACTGACGAACAGGGTAAAAGGGGGCTAACAAAGTATGCAGAGAAACAGACGGACTACAGTCTGTAACTGTAGAACTACAAAGTGCACCTATATAGTAAGTGGAGCTGATAAAATGGACAATGAGCGTAGAAACAAGGAGGTGGTCATAATGTTATGCCTGATCGGTGTATTTATGCTTTATTTACCTTTTCTGACATTTATTTATTTAATTTGTTTTTCAGTTGAATTTTATTTAAACAACATGGAAATCCACTCTTAAAAAGAACAGTTTTTTCTTACATTCAATAAGCACATAACGTTTCCTAAGTCAATGAGAAATCATGTCAAATAATTGTGATCTCAATATTGACGAAAACAATTATGGTTGCGAGTTTTGCCGTAATCAAGCAGCCCTACCCCCAAGTTCAACTTTGTTACTCTTATCTGGGATCCCCTTGCTCTGTGTGGTTGTCCGGTACACCCCTCCAGCCCCAATTCGAACCCTTTTTGTTATCCAGAACCAATCATCCAACTTTAGTACCTGACCTCACTAATGCACAGTGAATGCAAATCCTTACAGCAATGTTCCAACATCTACTGTAAAGCCTTCCCATAGGAAAAGAGACACTTACTCCTAAAAAAGGGGGACAAACTCCCTATGAATACCCTTCATTTTGGGAAAAACACTCGACTGTCCACAAAGTTTTGGGACATCTAGTATCCAATCTGACAACCACTGACGTGCCAACAGATGATGATGCTTGACACTGGTGCCACGTAGCTAGGCTAACACTGCAACTAAGCACTCTACACCTGGTTAGTTTTGCGTGGTTTAGCCTAAATGTGATCATTTTCAGGATGTTAGACGTCAAAGCAGAAGAAAAGGCGGCGGGTCAAAGCTTGTAAATGGAAGAATAGCCTGAATAACGAAAAGAACAGCCTTAATAACAGAAAGAACAGCCTGAATAACCGAAAGAACTGCCTGAATAACAGAAAGAACAGCCTGAGTAACAGAAAGAACAGCCTGTGTGACAGAAAGAACAGCCTGAATAACAGAAAGAACAGCCTGAATAACAGAGTAACGAGCTGTTTCATTGAAAACAGTCAATCAGGAGGCTCTGCTGCTGTGAAGCTGCTCACAGAACAGACTGACTGTTTACATGAATTACACCGTTATTCGCACTTATCGACCGCAGCCCTGCGGACCGTAAACCTGCTGAACAGCTTCACTGACCGTAAGAAAACCGGACACAGCTCAGTTCACCGTTATCTTACCCGGGTTTCACTGCGAGCCGCCATTGAGGGGTCCTGCCGCCGCTTTAACTCCTACTCAGCCTTAACAACCTGAAGAAAACAGCAGCGGCCCCAGTCTGGATTCATGAACCCGGACCGCCTGCAGGAGCCCGGAGTTACTCCAGTTCGGCCTTCGGAGCCGCTGGTCGCGCCCGAGAGCCGACTGAGGGGAAGCGGGACTGCCGGAGTGAGATTTTCAGGCACTTTTCAGGACAACTATCCACAGCCGCTCCGGGAAGATCCATGGAGCCGATGAGGAGGCGGACCTGGGTGGAAACAGCTGCAGCGTTTAATTCACAACTAAAGAAACACAATCGATGTGTGTTAGGAAAATATAATAAATAAAATATAAATAATACTGTTTAGAGAGGTTAAAAGCGTTTAATGTTGGTAACTGTTTTTAGGCATAACAGATTTACCTTTTTTGGGTGGGGTGGGGGCAAAAAAGGCCTCACATCGTCCACAACTTTACTCACTCAGTTCTACTAAAATTAGGAAGAAAAAACAATAAAAAAGAAAGAGAAAAAGAAAACAATAATAATAGACAACTTTAGTCGTGCGTCATTCTGTAGTCCTCGTTATGCCCATATTAGGAATTCCGGGTCTGAGCTCCATTTCTCTATGGCCAGAATTTTAAAAATCGCCTTTGTCGCTCACTGTGTTAAATAAAAATCTTCAGAACCCGACACGTTTTGTCTTGTGTACATTTTTCTGCCGACTACCACTGGATCCTCTGAATTACGAGGTCGTTAAAGAGCCTTAATGCTTATATTGCTACATGCAAGCTAAAGCTACTGCGCATCAATTTGATGTCACTCAGCTACAGGAAACTAAGGCGGGCTGTGGCGGTGTACCTCGTAGTTTTAATACTGGTAGTATCTGCAATGTCTTTCTCAAACGCTAGAGGGCGCTCCCGAGTAAGTCTAAAATGAATGGGTTGATATGGAGCATTTGAGCAAAATCATAGTTTATAATTGCTTAAACATTTTTAATGTAAAAGAATAATAATAATCATTTCCTGAACACAGAGCAGCATAAAACATTTTAACACCGCTGTTATATTTTTAAGAGCTTTTAAACTCGAGCTATAGGAGTTTAAAACGGTGCCTCATGTACGTCCATGACGTCTGTGAGTGTGAACAGTCAATGAGCTGCTCCTGCCTAGAGGTTTTATTTACGGGTATACCTATAAATGAGCTACGGTAGAACATTTTGATATAGTAGAACAACTCGTCAGAACAACCGCTGAATTTGCTGATTTTTTTTTTTTTCTTTTGCTGAATTTAACATATCGCTGCTGTCAGAAGAAAACCTCGTATGTCCATTTTTGTCGTTTTTCAGTTTTTGACATAATTTGAAAATTTGAAAAGGTTGGAGATACAAGGTTTCCTTCCGACAAGTTTAAAATATTGTGGAAAAAGAAGATACTATATATATATATATATATATATATATATATATATATATATATATATATACATATGTATATATATATATATATATATATATATATATATAGTCTTTTTTTCCCAGAATATTTTCAACTTTCATTTAAAGTCAGTTTACCAGTCAGGGATTAAGTCTAGTCCTGGACCACAGTTTCCTCTCAATAGAGAATCTCCATTCAGAATGCTATGTCCAGGACTAGGCCTGTCTGGAAATCTGACTCTTAGGCTCCGTTTCCCAGACATGGATTAAGCCTACACTTAAAAAAAATGTTACGTAAAATTAATGGTTCTATTTAGAACCATGAGTTCTATATAGAACCATGTCATGTACAAATGGTCCTTTGCATTGTGAAATTGTTCTTCAGATTGATGGAGAATGTGTTGTAGATGGTTCTACCTAGAACCTATTTGAAAATGTTTCTATATAGCATCAAAAAGGGTTCTGCTATTGTGGTCAAACTTGTAACAACAAAAGAACCCTTTTTGGTGCTAGATTTTAGAATTTACAACACCTTCTCCATCAGTCTGAAGAAACATTTCACCATGCAAAGAACCATTTAAGTGGTTCTTTATAGAACTCGTGGTTCTAAATACAGAACCATCTTTTTAAAGCATGTAGGTGTTTTTAAATATGTAGGTATTTAGTCAACACTGCAAGCAGCCACTGATCGCCGTTAGTGCTCATCCTGCGGTGTGAATGCTTATTTAATACTGTAGTGTGTGTTGATTTCACCTCATGTCCATTCAGCACGCTTTCCCACCCGTATTCCGACAATCCCCGCCCCTCTGCGCCGCGATTGGCTAGTTTTTACAAGATCTAAATTCTAGATCTACATTGTACAACTAGATTCCCGATTCTAGAACCACGATAGCGCAGATAAATCTAGATCATTGTTCTTCTGACAAAAAATTACTGAGCGGACAGCTTGTGACCGTGAACTACTAGCCATCTGTAGCGCGGAGAGGGCGGGGTTTGTGTCACTCTAGTGTCCGATTGGGCGAACCTCTTGCATATATAAAACTGCTAGCCAATGGTAGCGCAGGACTGCGGAGATTTCGTTGGGAATGGGGCGGGGATAATAAATATTAAGCGAACTGCTTGCGAGTGTGAACTACTAGCCCATCGTTGCGCAGTGAGGGCGGGGCTTGTGCCACTCTAGTGTCCGATTGGCGAAGTTCTTGCATATATAAAACTGCTAGCCAATGCTAGCGCGGGACGTTGGGGATATGGGCGGGGATGATGAATAAATAAATAAGAAACAGTAACGGCTGGAATCAAGCGCGCGCTCAGAATGGAGCACGCGGGGTGGGAGATGAAAGGCGGCAAGGCGATTTAAAAGATGCAACCGTTATTTTCGTTGCGGTTTTTCCGTATTTTTCCACTATAAAAGCAGCAGCTTTAGCGTTGTTTACGGGCGTTTTGCGAGGAAACTACGCTTCACACGACGGGTTTTGACGGTTGATTCATCCAGGTTAGCACTTGCTTTAAAACTTTGCCGGGCTGCCGTTAAACTGAAGTTAATGGAGGCGGTCGGGCTGGTTTGCTAAGCTAACTGGCTGGCTTTTAAAACAAACAAGCTGTCTCAACAATGTGGTGCGGGTCTCGTCACCTGAACGACGCGCGGATATGTTTGAGGGGAGAGCCGGTGAGGGGATAATGATTCACACTAAAGGCACGGACCGTCTCCTCCGGTTATAGAATGAACGATAAACCCAACAAGCTGCTCCTCATTCCGGTCCTGGTGCTTCTCTTCGTCATGATAGGCTATCAGTACATCTGCCCGGCGGGCAGCCAGTCATGTCACTTCGGGACCGGGGACAGGCTGAGGGGCGCCGCTTCGCTCCCCACCGGCTCCCCAGCGGCTCTGGACGACCTCCGCCGGGAGCCCGAGGTGGAGGAGGAGGAGGAGGACGAGAGCCTGGCCAGGCTCGCCGCCTCCAGGTTCAACTTCACCGAGCGAGACCTGGCGCGCCACGTGGACTTCGACATCCGAGGAGACGACGTGATCGTGTTCCTGCACATCCAGAAGACCGGCGGCACCACCTTCGGCCGCCACCTGGTCAGGAATATCCACCTGGAGCGGCCGTGCGACTGCAAACCGGGGCAGAAGAAGTGCAGCTGCCACCGGCCGGGCAGAGACGAGTCGTGGCTCTTCTCCAGGTTCTCCACTGGCTGGAGCTGCGGGCTGCACGCCGACTGGACCGAGCTGACCAACTGCGTGCCCGTCCTCATGGAGAAGAAGCAGCAGCAGCAGCAGGCTCCCACGCGCAAAAGGTAAAAGCCGCGGTCACTGTGGGAGACCATGCACTCTAAAAAGAGGGTTTTTTATGGGTTCTTGGTTCTGTTTAGAACCATGAGTTCTATGTTGAACCATTTGCATGCTCAAATAATTCTTTGCATGGTGAATGGTTCTTCAGATTGATGGAGAATGTGTTGTATATGGTTCTATATATAGAACCTGGAACAACAGAAGAACGCTTTTTGGTGTTACCTAGAACCATGTACAACACATTCTCCATCAATCTGAAGAATCATTTCACCATGCAAAGAACCATTTATGCATTGAATTGTTCTGTATATAACTCGAGGTTCTGATTAGAACCATTTCCTTTACTAAAGAACCCTTGAAGAACCTTTTTAAGAGTGAGAGATGTTAGAGAACGCTGTCTGTCATACTGGTTTTATTTCTGAGGCGTTTGCAGTGCAGAGTTGGTAGCAGCTCCTGACATTCACTCACATTTGAACAAAAATAACGTAAAGAGATGACTTGTGTTGATTTTAAAGGGGAAATCCACCAAACTTTCAAAATTTCTGAATAATTCAGTCCTTGAGATGTAAACATAGTCATTCAGATGTTTTGATGTGAGGTTGTTCATTGTAGAGAAACTTACAGGCTCAGATTTCTTTACAGTGGTGGTGATAGGAACCAGGGGTCACCATGTCTACAACACAAATATAGCCATTTTATTTACAATCCAAAACCACCAGTGAACCTGCACATGTGTCCTCTGAGATTCTACATATAACATTGATGATGGTAAAATAGTCATAAATCTGAAAAAATAACTTTTTGTGGGGACTATTTTGCCTCATAACGCCCTGCATGTATTCCTCCACCATGAATTAGATTAAAATCAATTAATTAAAATACATTTTAAGCCAAAACTTAGACACAATACTACAATAAGCAATGTCTCAGACATCAGGCAGCGTATATCCAACCATTTCATGTAGTAGCTCTCTGTGAGGGAGCTTTTAGAGGTGGATGTCTGGTTCCTATCACCACCACTGTGAACAATTCTGGCTCTAAGTTTCTGTAGAACAGAGCATTTCACATCAAACCACTCTGAATGACTTAACCATTTAATTATGTAGAATTTGTGAAAAATTGGTGGAGTTCCCCTTTAAGTAACTGATTTCCAGGCAAGAATTAAAGTAAATTTCAATCAAAGAAATCTATTCGTTTTGATCCAGAGAGCTTCAGTGATTCAATTCAATAAAAACCAAGTAAATTGCACTAAAGTGGTTTCGTCAACAGTTGCATTTACTGTTGAGACTACAAAGTCCTTATATACTGCCTGTACTGTATTTGAATGGAAATGTGTGGCATAATTCATTTAAGTTTATTGCAGTGAGCTACATGTGCTTAAAAGGGGAATCCCACCCATTTTTCAAAGTTTATGCCTTGAGATGTAAACAAAGTCATTCTGAAATGGTTCACTGTATAGAAAATTTCTTTACAGTGGTGGTGATAGGAACCAGGGGTCGTGATATGTACAATGCGACTATAGCCATTTTATTCACCATCCAAAAGCACCAGTGAGTTTTTATGTGTAATGCGGATGATAGTAAAATAGTGGCAAATCTGAAAAAACTAAAATTCTCTTGAGACTATTTTGTCTTACAGTGCCCTGTGTGTATCTTTCTGAAATGACTGAATAAGAAAAACACATTCTGGGTTAAAACCCTAATGCAAAAGTATCATAAAACATAGCATCAGGCAGTGTAATCATAACCATTTCATGTAATGGCTTTCTGTGAGGGAGCTGTCAGAGAAAAAAAAAACTCTTAAGACATCTGGTTCCTATCACCACCACTGCGGACAATTATTAATTTGTTTCTCTAGAACAGAGCTTTTCATACCAAACCGCTCTGAATGACTTGTTTATATCTTAATGATTTAATTCTGCAGAATTTAAATGTTTATTATTATTAATTATTATTATTATTATTCAGTAACCACATGGAAAACAGTGCAAAATGAGTTGTAGTTATAAGAGCGAGTAACAGATCTGTAAAATAAAAAATGTGATTTATTTATGCTTTTTTTGCTTATACTCAGGTATGTATGAGGAAGAAAATCCCTACTTCAGTTTCATTTTCACCGTTCACATTTTGTTTCTAAATCCTTTTTTAGGTTTATGTTTATAAGTGAATCCCCCCAAAAGCAGGTACTCATTTTGGAGCTTTAGCATTTTATATTAGAGGATTTAAAAAGAGAATAATAGAGTCTAACAAGCTTCCTATGCTGGATGTACTCAGAAGTTTCTATGCGGTTTTATAGGAACCTTAGTACTTGATACTTTTTGGACCTGATTCTTTTTATCTCAAGTTACCTTTTTTTTTGCTAGGTGACTTTTATTTCCACTTGAGTCATTATTTTATTGAATAATCATCACCTTTACTTGAGGATGGTGTTAACCCACAGTGCAATTAGCGACAGAAAAACAAGAAAGTGGCAAAGTTCAGTTCTAAACTCAAGTGCGGAAGTGTAGCCATATGGGTCGGGCTAAACTTTGCCGTTCTGCGATAGCCTTTCTGCTTTGCTAACGGGGATTGATCTGAATTAAAAGGGATACAGACTCTGTGGGCTTAATTAAATGAAATGGCTTGTGCAGCAGTGCCAGCCAGTCACTCTCAGTGCCCAGCAGTTGTTTCCACAGAATGGTCTAAAGAGGATCTAGAATGGGAGGAGATGTGCCAGTGAAAGTTGAGAAATTCAAGAGGTGAGTCATACCCTAATCCACAGTCTGGCTGGCAATAACTGATATAAATAGTCAAGTTGTTCTTTTTTTCATGCCAGATACCCAATTGGACCAAGAATATTTTGTTTATTTTTCGTTTGCTGGTTTTATGTGCAGATTCTTCTGTCTAAAAGAGATGTATACACAGCCCCTCCTAAAATAGAGGACCTTGCAAGTGTAAATATATGAACAATAAGTCATTTGTTGCTTTTCGTTATTGATATAAGCGATTCTTTCTTTTGTTTGGATGAGAGTTGTCATCTTCAGAGTCTTACTGAAATAGCAGTGTAAGTCATTACGGATCTTATGGTGTTATTTCTAGACTTGAGGCAAGTTAAGGCAAAATAAAAAGTCAGAGTTTTACTCGAATCGACTGGCAAACACACCCAGAGTGTTAAATGGATGCATTTATTTTTATATGCGGTTCATTCTGTGGTAAATTTCCCTCACCAAGATGCTACGTTTCCCCCGTTTGGATGATGGAGAGGGTGTGTAGTAATGAACTTTAAATGAGGCATCATAAAGCCAAGCTGAGCTGTGGAGCAGACTGGAGTATTCCCATCTATAATTTTGACAGTGCCAGTGTGCATACGTGAGCTATTAAAAGGTTATTTTAGTTGTTTACTGTGTATAATGAGAGTTTAATGTGTACAGAATGTGCAGACTTTCACTTTTATAAGTGTGTGGAGAAAAAGATCATCTGTTTCTGACCTAAAAGGGTTCTTGTAATGAAGTATTATAACAGCATAGTCATCAATCTGCTTTTGGTCTAATATTTTCCACTTACTTTCCAACTCATTCATAATGCTTCCATTTCATTTTGGTACATGTTACATATTTCTAGAAAGCATTATGATGCAGAAGTAGTTCTCAAGGGCTTCAGGGGTCACGGCTTTTGGTTGGTCGAGTGATTACATCCATCAGAATTAAAGGACTTATATCCTACGTTTGTCTGGTGTTTTATTTTTTCAGGTTTGTTTATACTTTTTGTCCTCTTATAATGTTTGTGTGGGGTTATACACAGAAAAAGTCATAATTAATTTTTTACATGAGTGTTTTCCAACCTGTCTTTATCCCTTAAAATTAAGCAGGCTGTTTTTGTTATTGTGCCTTTAAGACTCATATATGTAAATGAGCTCTGTTCTGATTTGCTGTCCTCTATTTTACCTCATTCCAAAAGGCAGTCCATGCTGAAACACTCCTTATAACTTTAGCTTGCATGGGCAGGGATAAACTGCTGTAGGCTGACTAGGTGGATATATATAAAGGTATTGGTTTTTGTGACCTCACAAAACTGGTAAATTTAAAATGGGCTATTTTTAGGTTAGTTTCCATGTGTGGACTGGGAAGTGACCAGTACATGTTAAAACTTTCACAGCATTTAAAACTACATCAAACTTATTTTTAAAAAGTGAGGAAAATATTGTGTTTCTGTAAATATACAGTTTATATACAGTGCTGTGAAAAAGTATTTGCTCTTTGATCCAATATATATATATATATATATATATATATATATATATATATATATATATATATATATATATATATATATATATATATATATATATATATATATACATACATTAGGACTTTGAGTCGGACATTCCAAAACCTTAATTTAGTTTCTTTTGAGCCATTAGGGGTGGACTTTCTTGTGTGCTTCGGGCCATTGTTCTGCCGCATAACCCAACTGCGCTTAAGCTTTAGGTCACAAACTGACGGGCAGACATTCTCCTTCAGGATTTTCTGATAGAGAGCAGAATTAATGGTTCCATCAATTACGACAAGTCATCCATTTCTTGCAGAAACAAAGCAGCCCCAGACCATCACACTACCACCAGCATGTTTGACTGTTGGTATGACGTTCTTATGGTGGAATGCAGTGTTAGCTTTACACCAGATGTAACAGGACCCATGTCTTCAAAAAAATTCCACCTTTGACTCATCAGTCCACAGGCTATTATCCTGAAAGTTTTGGGGGTCATCTCGATGTTTATTGGCAAAGTGAGATGAGCCTTTGTGTTGTTTTTGATTAGCAGTGGTCTGTGCCTTGCAGCTCTCCTATGGATGCCAATTTTTTCCCAGTGTCTTTCTTGTGGAATTGTGTATTTTGACCTTAACTAAGGCAAGTGAGGCCTGCAGTTCTTTAGATATTCATCTGGATTCTTTTGTGACCTCCTGGATGAATCGTCGATGGGCTCTTGGTGAAATTTTGGTATACCAGCCACCCCTGACAGGGGTTCACCA